AATACCGTAGTATAACGTCTCGACATTCCATCATTTCCGTAGTATAACAGCTCGACAGCTGACATATGGTATACATTACAACTTTACAGTATTATAACGGCTCAACAGCCGACATATGGTATACATTACAACATTGCCGTATTATAACGGCTCGACAGCCGATATATAGTATACATTTCAACATTACTGTATTATAACGGCTCGGCAGCCGACATATGGTATACATTTCAACATTACCATATTATAACGGCTCGACAGCCGACATATGGTATACATTACAACATTACCGTATTATAACGGCTCGACAGCCGATATATAGTATACATTACAACATTACCGTATTATAACGGCTCGACAGCCGACACATGGTATACATTACAACATTACCGTATTATAACGGCTCGACAGCCGATATATGGTATACAATACCATATTACCGTATTATAACGGCTCGACAGCCGATGTATGGCATACAATACCATATTACCGTATTACAACGGCTCGACAGCCGATGTATGGCATACAATACCATATTACCGTATTATAACGGCTCGACAGCCGATGTATGGCATACAATACCATATTACCGTATTATAACGGCTCGACAGCCGATGTATGGCATACAATACCATATTACCGTATTATAACGGCTCGACAGCCGATGTATGGCATACAATACCATACAGAAATACAACGTTAGAATACAAACAAGATAAATGCTGAAAGGCCGGGAGTGCACTAATCGGGAATGCCAAATTCAAATATCTACACCCTTATATACTCCCATAACACGCCACCTACCGGGCAGATAACCCATGTGAACGCTTCATACCGCTAGGAGAAAATAATTTCCCTCTAATTCATACTTCAAACGATAGAAATAATATTTTTGTCTTACCTAAACTGACAAACTGACGTAAGTAATCGATTATGCGTCAGGTGAAATACCAGGCCACGAGATCGCCATGACAACTAACATACATGTTATGTCTTAACTAAACTGACGCACAAAAGAAAGTACACACCAGGTACTAGGGAATTATTTTTTTGGAGTCACAAACACTATGTACGTGTTGCCAGAGCACAACAAATATCGTATGTAATTGCGATGTTAACCCGCTTCGAGCTGCGCGCCCACCATGGACGATTCAGTCCCAGGTTAATGACGTGACCCGAGATGGTCGTTAGGTCGGGGTGGCGACTGTACACAGTCGTCTCTTCGTTGTGGTCGCTGTTGAGGCGACCAAAAGTTATTGCTGCTCATGATGTCACTGTGGAAATCCGGTTGCGCTGATGGAGATGGTGACGGTCATTGTGTCGATGGTCACTCTCAGTCTTGCAGTTTTGGGACAGGTGTCAGGTGTCAGACAAGTGCCATTAGTCTCATCATGGTCTGTCTTGTACAGCGACCGTTCTGGCGATATCTGCGAAATTCCAGTGGCTCGTTCTCGCTCCGCTACTGATAACCTCGCCAATGTGATGAGCACATTTAGGAGATAACTGCACTGTGTTTGACGAATTGGGGACATATACCGGTGGTTATATAGCCGCAAATTTCGTAATATCAGTTATCCTATTCTAATTCAACTCGTTTTATCCTGTTTTTCCGTGAAAGAAATTCATTATTTAAACCAGGTCAAAGTTCATCAAGGTCAAAGCTTAAATCATATCACTCCTTGAACTTACACCATCGCCAGAAAAAACTAGTTCCCTTTTTAAACTTCAACACGTTGTTGAGTGCACACTGACTAAATCTGACAATGAGAAATGAATAAATCATAGTGTTACAGCTAAAATGGATGGAATTAACATGAACCCGCCCTCTAGTTATCGGAAATGAGCGGACGACGGGCCATTATCATGTCTGTTGTCAAATACCGCCGCCCTATAGCTGGAATATTGCTGAGCGCGGCGTAAAACTAAACTCACTCACTCTGATATCAAATATATCAACACTCTTTAATAAAAGTAAAAATATCATCTGCAAGCCTCGGATATTTATCAACTCTTCGTGATACATTTGATATCAAAAGACACTCGGGTGAGATTCTGCATATATCACTAACAATCTCAGGTCGACTGTGTTTATACTCTTGGTGCAAAACATGCACGTGCGATTCACCAAAATAGTGATGTTCATGACACCCCCACACTAATTATAAAGGATGTATGTGGCGTTTGGCACCACACACACAATGTTTGGGACTTGTAAGTCCCAAATGAATGAAAACACTTATCGTTACACTTCTATACTGAGTCGGGGCGGTGGGGTAGCCTATTGGTTAAAGCGTTGGCTCGTCACGCCGAAGACCCGGGTTCGAATCCCCACATGGGTACAATGTGTGAAGCCCATTTCTGGTGCCCCCCGCCGTGATGTTGCTGGAATATTGCTAAAAGCGGCGTAAATCCAAACTCAGACAGTCAGTCTATACTGAGTCTTAGTATTAGCAGTCTAACGAATAATGCTGAGCCTAAGTTTACTTAGACTGAAGCAATGCCACACTTTGACTTAACATATATATAAAGTCCAAGACCTGATCTTCAAAATCTACAAACATAGAACACAATTCGAATTGTAAATATGAGCAAAAAACACTTTTATTACGAGAGGTCCATCTTCTTTATCGGCTAAAAACACGGATGATGAATGAAAACTACATGCCCGTATTGAAGAACAGAACAATCAGTCAGTATATTGGTGATCATTTGTTAATGTTTAAACTGTCGTAGTTTGTGGACAATACACTGTGTCCCGGGCAGCTATGATTATGGATAACAGGATTCCACTTTATATTCGGTGTGTAATACATGACTACATATAGGTGCAGTAGTGGTCTGGCAGCAACTCGGAGCCAGGGTGGTGGGGTACCTAGTGGTTAAAGCGTTCGTCACGCCGAAGACCAGGGTTCGATTCCTCACATGGGTGCAATGTGTGAAGCCAATTTCTGGTGTCCCCGGCCTGATATTCCTCACAAATTTATTATTGGAGACTGCTGTTTGTTAGCTTTTGGTTAACCTGACTCTGTTCAGGGTTTACTTGTCAGAGAATGTGGTTTGTTGGTGACTGCGCTTTTGGTGACTGCAACTGACTTACTGCGCTTTTGGTCACTATCTGTGGTCACTGCACTGTTGGTCAGTTTAGTGAATGTAGGTCAGTGAGGTGTATGGCAGTCAGTGGGACTTCCTTTTGCCAAGGGGGCGGTGGGGTAGCCTAGTGGTTCAAGCGTTCACTCGTCACGCCGAAGACCCAGGATCGATTCCCTATAGGATTAGAAAGTGTGTCACCCGTGATATTATTGGAATATCGCTAAAAGCCACGTAAAACTTAACTCACTCGCTCACTCCTTTTGGCTAGGAACATTTTTCATAGATTTCCGAACTTGTGAATGAGCACAATAGGAGTGATTGTCATATTCTCTTCCAAGCTTTTTCACACTATTCACTGGTTTAAGTGTTAATGGCTCCTTCTTCTTACAAACAATACCCCTTTCCCCCATTTCCTGAAGAATGAGTGACTGAGGTTAGTTTTACGCCACTTTTAGCAATATTCCAGCAATATAATGGCAGGGACACCAGAAATTGGCTTCACACAATTTGCCTATGTGGGAAGCGAACCGGGTTTTCCGCTTTGCGAAGCGAACCCTTTAATCACTAGGCTATCCACCGCCCCTCCTGAATGAATGAATGAATGAATGAACAACACTAACAACTCATCTGTGTACATGTCAAGTTTATTTACAGACATACAAGTATCCTAATTAAATCATAGTGTTTGCCTCTTGCATACCCAGTCCATCCTCACAGGCGACTGGGAGAAAGTGATAATAACTAGTTGTTATGTTCATATGATCACCATCATCAAAGCAGTAAACCCAACCATCTCAGCCTCATGTGAATATTCTTGTACTTAGTGAAGGAGTTACCCCCTTTTCACAGCTAGGATCTGTATAATTAAAGACTCACCATTAGGATCAAGCCTTGATAATGCTTTATATAAAAGTGGGATGATCAGTTAAAACCATAGAAATGCTTCTTGACTACAGTGCATTCATAAATAGAATTTGCATTTGTAGTCAAAGAAGCTACTGGTTGTGGTCTTTGAAAACATGAGATGATCTAGTTGCATGTTTTTAAATGTGAACATGATTTGCATGTTTCAAAATGGGTGTACCAGCACCCCTGTACTGCACTCTCCTCCCTCCCAACACCCCAAGTCTGGATCTGTGTATAAACATTAAAAAAAACGTACTGGGGTTAAAACATAAACATACAAGTTTGGCAAGGAAGCATGGTAAAAAACATCTGCTGATGCTTAAATAATGATTTATATTTTAAAAGAAACATAAGGTGGGTGGTTTTACACAAATTTCGCAGTATTCCAGCAATATCATGTCGGGAAACGAACCCGGTGTGCTATAACCACTGGGCTACATAGGTCCTACTCAGTAATATTCCAGCTTTGGATATATGAAGATGGCTGCTAAGATAAGCTTAGGTAAAACAACTGGATCAGATACCCCACAGACAGATCTTAGGTAAAACACCCACACCATCAGAGCACAATAACAGCCACGAGTGACCAACACCAACACAGGGGAGACCTAAATGAACTCAGCAAACAAATAGGCTTATATTTAATATTTAGGCTGTTTAGGTAAGATTTGTTATTGCACAATTCCAGTGTGCATTGACAGAATAATGGTTTCAGTGCTTCCATGAGACTACAACATCAGGCCTCCTGAAATAATAAAATGTCTTCTGAGTGTCATGTTACCATGGCAACACTTCCATCAACACATTAGTCCTCATTTCATTTTCACAGTTAGTCCCATGAATATGTACATCACATGAATATCTAATCTGTCAGACTCTCACACAGTTATTTCCATGAATATGTACATCACATGAATATCTAATCTGTCAGACTCTCACACAGTTTTCAAAAGCTTGAAATACATGTTTCACCAACACCTGTCAATGATCTGAGATAGAGTCTTATCTGGCCTTTCTACTGAACATGCTATCGTATTGTTTGGAATGAGCTCAGACTGGACACTTGTAGTTGAAACTTCGAGACGGATCTGTGGGAAATAGTTTCTGACACTGTGTCATCAGCCGCTTCAAACCCTGAGGGAAACAGAAATATTTTTTCAATTACCAAATATTCTAACAAAATAATGTTAAACATGATTAAAGCCTTGTCTTGTTTATTACTTGATTTACAGATTCTTCCTCATAACACAGGATAAGCTGTCAATATAAAGTAGAACAAAAGTGACGATTTTTCAAGAGTAATATTTCGGAACCATCAAGTCATCTTACAGACATCAAATACCATTTACATCACAGGTTTCAAAAAGGGGTCAAAGCATTCAACACTGTTAGGTTAGACAGCATTCATTATATTTAGTTACTCCACAAAGTGGTGAGGTGAGGTGAAATGGGGTTTAGCGTCGGTTTGAGAATATTTAGCTCATATGGCGGCGTGCATGCGTGTGTATGTGTATGTGTATGCGCGGCTGCTTGTACTAGCCCAGACTGAAGCTGGTTTCATAGTGCTAGCCCACTATCATGAGATATCATGCCGCAGTGAAGCATGAATACCCCACTCAGACACATTATACTGACTCGAGGGCAACCAGTCCTTGTTGTACCCATTAATGCCGAGAAGCCAGGCAGGGACCAACAAGTACCATATTTTAACGTCTTTTGGTATGTCGCAGTCAGGGGATCGAACTCAGCGACCTTCCGGCTCTCCAGCCGGGCTGGCTCTAACTACTACACCATGAAGGCGGTCACTCCACAAAGTAAAACTTTGGGCCTGTAGACCTAAACCAAGTAATAAAAACGCTGAATACAGATGTATTACTTAAATTATATGCTGTTTGAATATGTCACATTTTACTAGTCAGTTAAGGAAATCAACTTTGTTTGAACAAGAAGGCCTTGGAACATCGTTTTCTCAAGACCATTGCCTTCATATTCCCATCATTAGGATCACAAGAGTTACTTCCCTTGCTAAACATCACGGTAATTTATAATCATAATCTGTTCTGCTTGATCTCAGCTATTATAGCCATGTCCTACCCAGTTGTCGATTCAGGTTTGAAAGTATAAAGATGAAATCTAAAAAGGCATCTTCATGGATACATCAGCTCCTAAATGCAGCTTGAAGATAGCGAGTCATTCCATTTGAATCTGCGTACAAGACGAAACCTACCTGAATATATTTCCTCTGTGTTTCATCATTCAGCACATGGGCCACGTATCTTGAGGAGATTTTCTCGCGCCCAGTACGAGCGTGGATGCCAACCATGGTGACTCCGATAGGCCAAGGTGCATTTCCTATGGCCATCTCCAGGTACGAATCATTGGCCTGGAGGAGAAGAATAACAGTGCGATACTTGGTTTTCACACCACTTTGAACAGTGCTTCATTTATCATTCAGGTTTTCCCTCGACATATATCTCCGCACTTACATTTTGAATACTGTTTTTTCTGATACTTTACGAGATGTAACTTCATCATGTTTGTCAAATAAACTGTACCCCTACCATTCCAGTCACAAAATGCTGAGAAAGAACAACAAAACATTTTGAAAAGTTGAGAAATACATCAGTTTCAAGTTACGAGGATGTAACCAACCACTTCACTAGAGAAGTGATCTACACAAACATTTGCTTTAATGACTTTCATATTAAACATCGTAAGTAAATGTCAGGTAGGTACCATATTATAAGTATTCTATCATTCACTCGTATTTTATGAGCACCAAGAGAAAACTGATGATGTCAGGACATGTTACGCCAGCTTAACGTGTAAGTTGAAAGTGATGCAAGTTACCATTTTGGTGAAACCCATGAGCTCACAGTTTAAAGATCATAATCGTAAATCTGTGATTTTAGCTCATTATTAGAAGATCCTGGAACTGAACAAAACTGGACAATTTCTCCGGACATGTGAAATCTGGATTCCACAAGTCATCTGTGCTAGATAGGACTCAAAACAGTTTTGACACTTGAAGCATGGAATTGTGGGTACCTCACAACAAAGAACCATTCCTCTTACCCCCAGATAGTCCTTGTCCATGAGTCTCTGTACAATCAGCACCATGCTGTCTAGGATGTCCTCGTCTACATTCTGGCAAAAAACATACACCCATGTAAACATAACATAGAACTGAGGCTGTGAGTGAGTGAGTGAGTGAGTGGAGTGAGTGAGTGAGGAGTGGAGTGAGTGAGTGAGTGAGTGAGTGAGTGAGTGAGTGAGTGAGTGAGTGAGTGGTGGAGTGAGTGAGTGAGTGAGTGAGTGAGGAGTGAGTGAGTGAGTGAGGAGTGAGTGAGTGAGTGAGTGAGTGAGTGAGTGAGTGAGAGTGAGTGAGTGAGTGAGTGAGTGAGTGAGTGAGTGAGGAGTGAGGTGAGTGAGTGAGTGAGTGAGTGAGTGAGTGAGTGAGTGAGGTGAGTGAGTGAGTGAGTGAGTGAGTGAGTGAGTGAGTGCGTGCTTTCAGACAACATTATCCAGGGTTGGAAATCTTTTATGTCAGTGCTATTGCTAAACTCCACAGTTAAAGGTCACATGCAACCCAAAAATCAAACTTTATAAAACACAATTATCACTTATTCATGACATATAATATACATTGCTGGTTATGAAAAAACATATAAACAAAATTATAAGCGTACAATCGCAAATCAAAAGTGCAATATTTTGTACTTGGGTTTACTTCCCAAGAAACGAAGCAGCCGGGATACCGAACCCAGTCAGAGCGGGTGGGTGTGCACTCAAGTGTAACGGCTGGTTCATTTGCAGATGTCCTCATGGCTCATTGTGTGTGTATATATAGAGATGTTGGGTTTTGTAAATACATGCTCATTTTTTTGTATAACATTTTGCAATCAACAGACATCATAACATGTCATGTGTTCAAGTATCACACCTGCCTGTCTGTGTAATTACATAATGTGACAGAGACCGAACTCGGGCCATAAATCAATGCATTTTGTTTATGGTGTATAGCCTGATTGGTGTTAAGTTCAAATTGCATGTGGTCAGTGATCGCGAGTTGTGTATTGAATACTGTCATTAGCAGACAGGCAGGCAGACACACAGGTGTCAATAAAACAAGACATTGAGTTTTGTCTGTGACAACGACATATCTATATCACAGTTAGAAATTCTGTCAACGCTAAATAATGACATTGCTTTTAAGTATCGAACTGAGAAAGTGACTCGTAAGAAGAAGAGCGTGTGGTGAAATAGACAAATGAAATTATATAAACAGTTAATTTACTGTCATAACATATAAAAGCTCGCGCCTGTGAGATATCAACAAAACATTAGAAAAATAGCTCACACCAAAGCTTTCACCAAGTATTCAGCGGACAATCCGGCTTCCAAGTTGCGCGTGAACCTATTTCACTGCGCGACGTGCTATGAGCGCAGCCCAGCTGTTGAAACCACTTGAATTCCCCAAGCGCTTGGGGAAAATTAGTGAATCGTTTGAACTACGATTTCGCGCGTTTTTTCATCGCGTTATTTTTCAACTTTATATGTTGAATTTGCATTTTGATGATTTGTTTGGTAAGTCCATACCGAAAAGGTATCAGAATCTGCAAAGTTGTGTTTTACGCTGCATGTGACCTTTAAGTCCATTTCTGAGTAATCAAGGAAAGCTTGAAGTAAAGCAGGTCTCAGACGTTTACCACTCTGCTAGAACCCATTAGCATGGAAGTGATGCTGATAAACCTCAAAATACTGGTTTATAGACACAGCCCACTTATATACAGGGATGGCAACAGGAAAATCTATTTTCAGCTGAAAACTTAATATTGTGTCATCGTATGGGGTTTCAGAAAGATCAATTTGAAATAAAATCGGCGGAAATACATGGATCAAAATTGCCATCCCTGTAAATACCACGCCTTAGTTCAACATGGATACTAAACTCAGCGCATATCCACTCATCAAACTGATCGCCTGTGAGGGAGCTAGATTTAACACAACTTTGAACAATATTCAAGTTAAGGTGTGTCAACTTCATGTGCAGGGAAAGCCCAGAGTCTAAGACTTTTGAGTATGTTGTGCTGACAACCCAGATACACCATCTGGATGAACACCAACTCCAGCCCACAATCACAGGTTTCTGCCCTGCTCAGGGGACAAGATATTCTGCTCAGTGAAATGAAGCACCTGAGACCACTGGGCCACTATGAAGGTCTGTGTGCAATTGGCTGTTAATTACTTACTTTATTTTTCAGTTTTCTAAAGAGAGGCTTCAGATATCCGACAGTCTGTGTGTGCTGAGCACTGTCCAGCTTCCCTCTGTTCATCCTCTTATCATCCTCTTGTCGATTGTTTAACATCCTCCCCCACATCTTCATGATGTACTGGAACAATTGTTACAATGGTAACACACAACCTTCACATCATATGATTAACAGACAAAGAGCTACACAATAGTTAAAAAAAAAAGCCTCTGAAGTACAGAAATATTTCATACAAAACATTTTTGTTTTTATCATATTTTTTAGAAGAACATTAAATCTTTTCCATTTGAACTGGTCAGTTCCTGCAGCACAGGACAATCAGTTAACTGATCAATAAATTGCCTTTTTGACAATGTGACTGAACACAAGTAACAGAATCAATTTAGTGCACTCTTCAGAAGCGTTTACAGCTGGATTGTCTCCCTTGGGTCCAGTGGCTTCAGTTCTTTCGCTCGCTCTGAAGATGACTTACATGTAGAGTAAAACAAAAATGTGCCCCACATACAGCTTGTTCAGCTTGACCTGAGCTACTCTGCATATTCATGACCCGAGAGGTCAAATGGCACAAATGGCAGGTTGAGTTAACTTCAATAAATACGCGGGAACAGAGAATGTAATTAATGTTGCGTTAAGTGCGAAACATGCATATATGGAATCGTTACAGATTCGAAAACAACACTGCAGAGGCCCATATAAGCTGCATAAAATGCGCATAGATAATTTCCACCACGCATTGAAAATAATTGTTTAGCATTACTAATTCGCATTTAAAATGTTAGATACGCCAAAAGTTTAAAACAAATACGTCACGGAATATATTTATAAAAATCGCTTTGCGTAATGAAAAGACATCGATTGCTATCAAGATGTACTGTTAGTATAGCACAAGTGTTATACTGTCAGTATAGGATGAGTGATTTTTATGAAATCATTTCCATTATATTTAAGTTGGTTTTGATTAGGTATGACATAAGTCAGAACATACCTGCTTAGTAAACGCGTGCTCAGTCACATAATACTTAGGTGAGTAAAATGACTGAAATACGCACATATTTGAAAGCAGTGGGTAACGGAAAATGAAATACCCACTCAACATTCATAATACCCACTCCCAAAAATACACTGGGTGCAGTACCCACATGAGCTAAATCTTATCTGGAGCTCTGAACACTTCTGAAAAACCCCAATCATTTCATGATTTAATTGAATTGTTTGTACAGTCATACATGCTAGCTAGTTTGGTTTACTAACTTTACAACGTACAGACGTCTGTTACTGTCACAATCCGATTCACTCTCGCTATCACTCTCTACACCCAGTTCATTATCACTTTTTCTATTTCATGAATCAGAAACATTAAACCATCTGTAGCTTCTTTTTTAAAGAATGTTAGGACATTGCTGACGATTTCTCCACACTGAGATGTCAAACGGCGACCTTGTCTCGGCTGCTCGGACATGTTGACAATCAACTGACAAAGGTGCACCCCTTCACAATAATAGATCCAACCAGTTGTGACACGGTCTTAGTTGTATAATGATCAATAAAAACTGCAAATTTTTATACAGGCTTTTAGCTGTTTGAACTGTAAACTTTGTATAGAATTCATGGCTTTAGTTACAGATAAACTTTGCACATAATTTAATGGTCTCATCTAGCTTCCCTAGTGCTATGCAATGGTCTGTTACACGAAAATTCTTAATTCAAGTTCAGTTAGGTACACAAAAAATTAGACATTGCCTCAGGCACATTTCTGTCCTTCATGACAACAAACCCTTTGGATGATCTTTTATGAACATTAATGTATCATACCTTGAAAAATCTCAACATAATCAACTGGTCTTCATCTTTATCGCCCTTTCCAAGCTGCTCACGCATTTTCTGGAAAGATAGTTCACAGACATCACAAATCACTTTCTCCTTTTTTCTAAAAACACAAATTCACCATTCCTTAGTCACTTTTTAGACTGTCAATCACATGTATGTTTGGTATCCTTCAAAGTTATGCAGTTCTGAGGCGTTTAACATTTTTGTAAAACCCATGAGTTGAAACTTCTGACAATATGACATAGGATCCACTTTACGGATCCATAACCGATACCCCACTGTACCAGTCCTATCACAGGATACAGTTTTTTTTATCTATAACAGAGATCTCAATAGACTGAGGATGCAACATGCCCACATCTATTGATCACTCACAGATATCTTGTTGGACCTGCCCTGCCACAGGTTCTCGCTTAAGGATCTACAGCCAATATCTCACTGGACCAGCACTACAATAGGATCTCTTTGTAGGATCCACAACAGATATCTCAAAAAGCCCTACATCAGGATCCTGTTTTAGGATCTATAACAAATATCTCACTAGACCAACCCTACCACAGGATCATGTTTTAGGATCCAAAAGTTAGAACAGATATCTCACTGGACCAGCCCTACCACAGGATCAAGTTTTACGATCTTTAACAGATATCCCACTGGACCAACCCTTCCACAGGATCAAGTTTTACGATCTTTAACAGATATCCCACTGGACCAGCCCTACCACAGGATCCTGTTTTAGGATCCATAACAGATATCTCACTAGACCAGCCCTACTACAGGATCCTGTTTTAGGATCCATAACAGATATCTCACTGGACCAGCCCTACCACAGGATCAAGTTTTAGGATCCATAACAGATATCTCACTAGACCAGCCCTACCACAGGATCCTGTTTTAGGATCTATAACAGATATCTCACTGGACCAGCCCTACCACAGGATCAAGTTTTAGGATCCATAACAGATATCTCACTAGACCTGCCCTACCACAGGATCCTGTTTTAGGATCTATGACAGATATCCCACTGGACCAGCCCTACCACAGGATCTTGTTTTAGGATCCATAACAGTTTTAGGATCCATAAGTCATAACAGATTCCCAACTGGACCAGCCCTACCACAGGATCCTGTTTTAGGATCTATGACAGATATCCCACTGGACCAGCCCTACCACACGGCCTCTTTATAGAATCTATAACACGTGTCTCACTGGTATGTCTTCCTCAGTTGTTCCATCATCTTTGATGAACACATCATTAGAAAGCTGGGATCCATCTGATGATTTGATGATCTCATTAAGGTATGCCTGGTCCACTTGATCCATAGCTGCCTTGAAGTCATTGTCGAATCCTTGACCCTTCAACACAAGACAATCATTATTAACATCATTCTTTAGTACATGTCAGAGTAAAAACACCTTTGTAGATTGGGAAGTAGTGTCATAACATGTTTATAATCATAGAAATGATCATGTTTACGTTAATATTGGCTTCTGATTACAAAATATAGCCTTTACAATACCTGAGTAAGTTGAATAGGAGTTTTCAAAACCACACACTATCACAATATTGACAGAAGAATAATGCCAATTTGTTTTAAGTATACCTTTCTGATGTCTGGTTCCTGTGTTTCCAACTTCTTGAGACGGAGGTATGCCTCAAGGTCGGACTCTCCAAACAGTCGAATAGGTTCACTCCTCTCCCGTAGTCGTCGGATCACCTGGAACAGTCACAGATAGTCACATTGTCTCAAACAGTCAATCATACTGTAACTACAAGATCAAATGATGTCATCAGTCAGTCATACAGTGGCTACAGGGTCACATGAATTACATTTTGTATCATTTAAACAATTCTCACTTCTTTCCTGGGCAGTTGATCATACTTCTTGTCTTCCTTCTTTTCTGGCTTCTGATCTCCTGATTCTTGACTCTTCTGTGCATGAAAAACAACAAATGTATATTGATAAACACGTGAATCAATAGTCACCCTTTTCTCTGTCATAAAATGACACAAACCTCAAGTCCTAATTGCCTAGTGCAATATACAGTCATATTAGAAACCATTTTGTTCCAATTGCTATTGTTGGAAAAAACCTTTCAGGTTATGTTTCAGTTGTTCATGTGCAGGATGAGTGAGTGTTATTTACTGTCTCATTCTCATAATCTATCTTTCTGCAAGTTAATTCTTGGCCAGTCTCGGTCTGATTTTCATTCAAGTGCATTCAAACACATAAAGATATCAACAATTCCTCATTACAAGATTACCTCCATTCCACTTGCATGATGGGACACATGCAAACATACACTCCAAATACCACCATGGCCAATATTTGTAGACTAAACTTCAGTACTGAGCTTGTCTTACCTGTTAAAGTTCAGTACAGAGCTTGTCTTACCTGTTAAAGTTCAGTACAGAGCTTGTCTTACCTGTTAAAGTTCAGTACAGAGCTTGTCTTACCTGTTAAAGTTCAGTACAGAGCTTGTCTTACCTGTAAAACTTCAGTACAGAGCTTGTCTTACCTGTTAAACTTCAGTACAGAGCTTGTCTTACCTGTTAAACTTCAGTACAGAGCTTGTCTTACCTGTTAAACTTCAGTACAGAGCTTGTCTTACCTGTTAAACTTCAGTACAGAGCTTGTCTTACCTGTAAAACTTCAGTACAGAGCTTGTCTTACCTGTTAAACTTCAGTACAGAGCTTGTCTTCACGTGTTAAAGTTCAGTACAGAGCTTGTCTTACCTGTTAAAGTTCAGTACAGAGCTTGTCTTACCTGTTAAAGTTCAGTACAGAGCTTGTCTTACCTGTTAAAGTTCAGTACAGAGCTTGTCTTACCTGTTAAAGTTCAGTACAGAGCTTGTCTTACCTGTTAAAGTTCAGTACAGAGCTTGTCTTACCTGTTAAAGTTCAGTACAGAGCTTGTCTTACCTGTTAAAGTTCAGTACAGAGCTTGTCTTACCTGTTAAAGTTCAGTACAGAGCTTGTCTTACCTGTTAAAGTTCAGTACAGAGCTTGTCTTACCTGTTAAAGTTCAGTACAGAGCTTGTCTTACCTGTAAAACTTCAGTACAGAGCTTGTCTGTTAAAGTTCAGTACAGAGCTTGTCTTACCTGTTCAGCATCTTCCTCCTGAGCCTTGTTCTTCTTCCAGTACTCTGCCGTCTGCTGGGCAGCTAGGTCTCCACGCTTGAAATACTTCTTGTTGGGGGCCTGAAAAATATAAACATCTAGTATCACTCTCATCACTATGTTCTACACCAGTGGTCAACAGCATAAGCAACTATCACTTTTGCTATCACAAATCTGGATATAGGGACAAACATTGTATTTTTCCTGACTGACAAAGTGTGACATTATATATCATGATATATTGTATGTCAACCAACATACTTATAGTCAGTAATAGAACAAAACAGACCCTCCACTGGTAGTTGTAGGGACATATTTTTACTCCCTTGGAATTGTGTTCTGTCTGAAGAGTTCAGAATTTGCTTTTACACCATCGATTCTGTACAATATTTCAATGAAGTGACACGAAATTATACGTAGAAATAGCTTCAGTGAAGTGGGGAATTTATCACAGTTCTACAGACAGTTTCATTTCACTTACTAATAGATTACTGTTCTCGATTTGTCGCTTTTTTCTCTCAATTTCAGCTTTGATGAAATCCATTGCTGATCATACCGTAAACAACTCTCTCAATGCAATATACCTGAAACCGAACCTGATTGGGTAAATAGACCTATTTTCAACCAATCACCGATGGTTTGACAAAAGCTTGAAGGAAGTATAACACAGAAAGTGCCCGGATTATCAATCTACGTTTTTCCAGAACCGAGTATTGTGGATGTTGTACATATTCGTGTCCTGTCGCTAATGTTGGTCAAGGAAACAGTGTATATACTATGTATTTTGGTACTTCTATCACTTCTCAAGCTATGTCTGTCACTCGACGTAACTGTCAGTACCTGCAATTTGTGGAACTTCATGTTCAACTGGGATATCAGAAAACATCGTATCGCAGAACTGGTAATTAATAATTAAAATATGGACATTATATAATTGATTCAAACTCATACTACATTTATAATGGGAGCCATTATAACTGTCACATCTATTCGAAGCCTGCACATGACCGTTTCACACACGTGATACGAAACCAAACACACCCAGTACAGTCGGGTGCCAGTCACTACAAAACGCCCCAGCCAGTTTGGTCAAAATGCCCCGGAGTTTTGGTCAAATTGCCCCAGGTTTGGTCAAAATGCCCCAATGTATTTAAATTGGTTAAATATATGCCATAAATGCATAGTTTTTTTGTCAACTTCCATATTATATGCTATATATAATATTATATAGTAATATTTCTAATAGGTGAGGTGAAATTGGGTTTTACGTCGTGCTTGAGAATATTTCGCTCATATGACGAGATATTTCTAATAAATTTTGTATTAGTAAATTGACAAGAGCAAAAGTAATATTCATGTATAGACAACACTGTAATACCAATTATTTGGTAAAGAATTACAATAGTAAAATGAAAGGTTTGTATAATATGTTTATTGGCTGTAAATAGTTTTTTGGTCAACAAATGGCATTGTGTAATCATAACACGTATGGTATAATATTTATGATTCAAACATATTTATTTCCAAAGAAAGGAACCGGATTGGTAAACAAGTATAAGCTTATATGAATACTGCTCCGGGATACAATGGAAGGAAGGATAAACACATCATGAAGAATGTACAATGTGAATGATATATAAATATTGCAAAAACGAGCAATAACGCCAATCATTGTTAAATAGTATATGTCATATAAACAAATTATTTTGGATCAAATCTGCCTGTTAAATTTATAAAAGAGTGCACTGAAATTAAAAGTTCTTTGTTTACTATTGAGGAGCAGCTTTGGTTTCCAAACAAAACTGATCTAGGTCAAATCCTTTGGTATAAAATACATAATTTGACGTATATTGTTGTAAAGAGTACATGAAAAGAAATAATGAGCAGAGTCTTCATAGTTGTGGCCACAAGAGCAAGATGATGTGGGAGATATAAACTTTTCATATTTGTGTGCATTAAGGTCACTACATTCAAGTCTGAGACAAGAATGTATGTTCTGACAAAATCTGCTACTGAAATTTAAGTCAAAATGACTGTAGATATTAGAATCGTTTAAAATTACATTTTAGAATCTCGATAGGTGATGGTCAATTGATGGTCAATTAGTGAATATGTTTTTATAGCCTGAAATGCTCATACATTCGAGCCTCAACATTTCCTTCAACTAAACACAGCAGTGAATGTCAATTAGTGAACATGTTTTAATAGCCTGTTTTTATCCACACTTTTTGACAAGATTAATTAACAAAAGCTCTAGATTGTTTTGATAAGCATTATACCATACTTGTTGAGAAAATCTATGCATTTATAGCCTCACCTTTTGACAAGATTAATTAACAAAAGCTCTAGATTGTTTTGATAAGTATTATACCATACTTGCTGACAAAAACTATGCATTTATGGCCAATGAACATTCTATACAAACATTTCATTTTATTCTTGTAATTTTTTACAGAAGCATTAATAACATGCAAATAATTGGTATTACAGTGTTGTCTATACATATGAATATTACTTTTGCTCTTATCAGTATACTAATAGAAAATTTATCAGAAATATTACTATATAATATTATACGAAGTATATAATATGGAAGTTGACAAAAACTATGCATTTATGGCATATATTTAATCATTTTAAATACACTGGGGCATTTTGACTACCCCCCTGGGGCGATTTGACCAAACCTGGGGCGATTTGACAAAAAATCTGGGGCATTTTGACCAAATTGGCTGGGGCGTTTTGTAGCTGGGACGATTTGACTGGCACCTGTACAGTCAAGCCTCAAGGGTCTCCACTCGACTTATTTTGCCCGATTATACAGCACTGACATTGTGATATTTAAATGAAACAACACACAAAGAGACACCATGAAAGTCACAATGCACACATTAACTAGAACCTGAGGTGTCAGGTACTGGTTAAGTGTTGATTAGCTTGTTACACCTGAACTCTGGTTCAAATGTATACATATGTATCTGTATTATGTATGATGCTCATCCCAATATCCCCTGGCCAATGCGGGTGTAGGGCAATTTCCCATTGGGTCATTACCCCATCTGCCATTTCTCCGTCTGAATATTTCCCCATCCAAGATTATCATTGCCTGGACATTTCCCAAACCTCCCCAAATTGAGTTACTTAGTGCATCTAAATGGGACTGTGTTAGGATGGTTATAAAAATGTGTTGTAACACTGCGTTAATATCAAAGAGATGTTTTGATTACACATGTACTACATATACTATGATGGTTAAATCCTGCTATTACACAAAGATGGAGTTTATCCAGAAAATCCGCCTGAATAGTAGAGAATGAAATGTATTTTACACTATGTTTTGTGTGAAATATCAACCATATTTTTAACACTGCCAAGAAAATTCTTGTTCATTCAGTCTTATATTTGAGGAAATAACAACCAAAAAACAGTAAGGTGGGGAAATGACCGTCCAGATATATATTTTCGTTGGGTATTGTCTAGGTGGGAAATTGACTTGGTGGAGAAATGACAGGGTGGGGAAATGACTGGCACCTGGCCAATGCAGTGATATTGCTGGAAAATTGCAACAGGTATACTGTATAGACAAGTACCATCACTAGGTAGTGATGTTAATAGTGTGAATAAAAGTATTTAGAAGTTAGCGGTAGATGGTTTTGGTAATAAATCCGACAGAATAGGATGGCTAAGCTGATGCGACATCTGATGCTATGGAGTAGTATAGGGAATAGCGGTTCTAGTGGGCAGGGGAGAGATCCAGTAGAGTCGTGCTTAAAGACGGGACTGTTGTTTGGGCCAACCAGATATTGGAGCTTGCATTAAAAGAGAAGTCTCACTATGCGGAATCGTTCATGGACGGGGAACGAAAAATTACAGGAGCCACAAAATCTGTAGGGCACCAGTGAGTTTCGGCAACCAAAATGCAATGGAACAAAAAAGGCCCAACGTTTTGAGATTTTCCAATCTGTAGTCGTTGTCCCAGATCCTAGAAAGCTATCTTCTATTGAGCAAGACTACAATGACCTACTGGACGAAAAAATGCAAACTATAGCGGTAGAAGCTGCAACGGCACCAATTCCAAAGGACACGACGAAAATGTTAGACATCGAACCTGAAGAATATATGTGCAGAGAGTTTGCTGCCACGGTATGCCGAGGGAAAGCACAAATTGTATTGTATCTGCTGCCATTGGGGGAAGATGGCAACCCAACAACAGACATACAAATACCAACGTATGGATAGTTTCTAGAGAAGGAAATAGAAAAACTTGGCGGGGTAGAAGCCCTGCAGAAAGCAAACAGCTTGCTTCTCTGTAGAGTAGGCCCGGAAAAGACGACACCGCACGTAAACAAAGATAGACTGGTGTCTGTAGTATACAGTTAGAAACAAATAGTTCCACTAGGGATACAGAATAGAATACCACCAGAATATCCAACGATAAACATTCTGCTTCGATTTGCAAATCGTTTTGCTTTATCTTTGCCAAAGTGGCCTAGTATACGAGCTGGTCGGTCTATTGGGCCTTCCCTAGCCATTTCCCGTATCTTTTCCTCCACAGAAGAATACTCCATTGGGATCTCTTTCCATTATGCAGCCTCTGCTTTGTCGAATTCCTTGAATGGGAAACGAGGTGGATTGCCTCTATTGTGTACAATATGGATGTTATATATAGTTCTATATCTATATTTCCATTTGCGTACACACACATTTTTTTTTTCTACCCCATGTAGTGGGGGTTCCCGGGTTTAGCTGTGGAAACTGGTTTGGGTGTTTCTGTCTTTTCGGCGGCCTGTCTGTCGATTGGTATGTGGGCCGGTGTGCTGTGCTTCCAGGTCTTGTGGACAACCTTCCAGACAAACACGGCGGTCGCGAAAGGTAGGTCCACTTTTGAGCAGATTCAGATCTGCCCCACCTTCCGGATATACAGACGGGTCTCTTCTTGTTCCTCCTCAACATTTTCTATTTCCTCCCGGAGTTCGTCGTCGTTGTCCAGCCTAGACAAGATTCTGACCAATATGGTCGTGGTTTGTTCTGCAGGGGCCTCGATCTTCCCCAAGCGGTCGTAGAAGTCCTGGACGGTGAGCGATGTCGACGGTTCTGCGGCAGGTAATATAGATGTGCTGGAGGGCGACGGATTTGACGCTATCTCGCCAGCGGGCAAGAGGGTCGAAGGTTCTGCAGCAGGCAGTACGGTTGTGCTGGAAAATGAGGTCGCATTTGGAGCGGGGAAGGAGGAGGAATGGGCTTTGTAGCTTTTTGCATATCATCTTCTGTATTCCATATTTTGCATAGGCGATTGGAACCGATTCCAAATCGGTGTTTCATTTCTTGTGCAGAGATCTTTCCACGCATCTTGTGAATCTCTTCCACTTGGTCTTGTGATAGTTGTCTTTTCGGAGGCATTTTTTTTTTGGTACTATATATCTGCATTCGCACAATTGTCTATATGGAAAACCAGGCAGTACCTAGGCAAACCTACTGCTATAGTTTGCAATTTTTCATCCAGTAGGTCGTAGTAGTCTTGCTCTATAGAAGATAGCTTTCTAGAATCTGGGGCAATGATTACAGCAATAGGATTCCAGGATATGGTCCTTCCCTCTTTCTGGAAAGTTCTGGTGGGTTCTATGTGGATGTGCAGGCCAACAGGGTATTCTTCTCCTTCATTGCTGGCCAAGCCTCTCGGTATCCAACACGTTTTTCGGCTGTATTTGTCCATAGTGGTTTCGACAAAGTCATGGTTCTCTTCCAGCACACGCTCCAGTCTTCTGTTTGCCCATGTCTTTTTGCGACAAGACTACTCTGCTGGATGTTTGTGCTTCTGGTTGAGCGGTATCCTAGAATAGACCATGTAGTATTCGCTACCTCGGCTATTTTTCTTGTGTGTGCATTTCGTTGAGCCGTTTCTCTCTCTTTGATAGCTTCTTCCGTTCTCTTTGTGTGATCCACAGTTGTCTTCTTGTCTTTCCACCCTGTGTAGGATATTCGTTTGCATGTATTTTTGTTTAGGCAAGGAATCTTGTACCGCGCCAGTTGAAATTCTCCAAACCACGACTGGTGCTGAACCTTCTTTGCCTATCGTGCAGGAAACTCTGCCTTTCTTCCAAACACAGTCTTTGCAATGCAGATAGCCAAAGACGTATATGTCGTCCACGAATGTGGGTAGTCCTTCCAAAGGTTGTAGATTCGTTCTTCCGAGAATGTCTGCCAAATAGTCGACTATTGCAATATCCGGTAAAGGTTGCTTTCTACGGTGTTTTCCAGTAGTAGATGCGTTCTGATGGCCCAGTTTTTGGAAAGTGATTTCGATCGCCATTCGTTGTAAATTTTTTATACTACTTTTCATAGTGCTAAAATTTTGTACTACCATAACTCTGAATGATTGTCAAAATTGTTGGAAACAAAAAAAAGTAGTACTAATCTTGGTAGTCCTGATCGAATTTTCCGCTCCAGTAAACTATGGACGCCATCATTTACACCTATTTTTCACTCCAAGGGGGCCGGAGTTTGACAGAAATAACGCTTATAGGGGACCTGTAATAGAACCACTATACCCTATACTACTTTTGGATATAAGATGCAGAAACCACAACATTGGAACAATTGTGTACATTTACTTATCATTCATGTAATGATTCGTAATAAGTTTATTGTTCTTTAAGAAAGTGTATTGTTTACTTTTGTCAGGTACATGTTACTATGCCCATTTTTGTACATCTACATGATAGTCAACTTTAAAGTTAATTTTACGTGTTTGTATTGAAGATATGTATTGCGTATTTTAAAAATGTAATTTCGTCAATAAGATGGAGAGAGACCATATTGATCAAAACAATAATGCTAGCATCAAAGTATATCGCTATGAAACTTTATTTAAAATTTCATAAAATGCTGCTTACATCATGTACATTGTTGAAACTATTTGCTGCTGTAAGCATAAACATGTTTAAGATTATTCTAAAGAATAAAGGAAATAAAGGCTAGTCATGTTAGTTGCTTGAGTTATGGAAGAAGAGGTATGCATGGTGTGAAAACACAAGCTTGATTTTTCTGATTGAATCATTAGTAATTCCATTACAGCTTTCAAGATATACACAGCGCTCAAGATAAGAGCCGTATCCGCGTATGTACGGATATAAAATAAGCACGATAAGGTAGGAAATAATTTAGAAAACGTAGCAGATACGCTTCACAGCAATGGTGTACGGTCTTAGAATCATTTACAGACGTATTTATCAGAAAAAGTATTGTATTATTGTTTATTGACCTGTTTACACAAGAGTAGCAATGTTGTGGTACATATATGAAACGGAACACAAGATTACTGTACTCCATTAAATTCCATTCAGTACTTTAACTGTACTCTTATTGTTTTCCAGTACTCCAACATTGAAAAAATAAGGAGTACGTACTACTGATCATGAAATATTATCTGGAGCCCTGTATACTTGAGTGCTGTTACCTAATCCTGATAAGCAAAGACAGCTATCAGTATTCCAGTTGACATGATTATTATTATATCTCTGATGATTATGTTATCTTTTGATGGATTTGTTTTTGTTTTTCAGATTCGGGAATCCAACTCTGATATTGTTGCATTTCAAGAAGTGCGAAGTGATTTCTATGAAGAAAATTCTCAAGTGTTAGAGTTAAAGAAATTATTACCAGAATACAGATGGGCTGTGTGGCGTACAGCTAACAGTGTTGCTCAAAGTGATAATTTCATCCACAAACTATGGGCAAAGGAAGGTATGAACATCTGTTCAAATATTCTCCAAACAAATTCAGATTTGCGCATGATCTAGAATCACATTATTGAAAAGTAGACTGAACCATCCATTAAAGTTTTCTTCTGCGATTTTGTATTGATGATTCAGCATGTTCATATGGAAGGGTAGTTAGTTCTATACTTTAGGAAGTATAAGTAATCATTTGAGAGATAGGACTAACTGTTTAAAATGTTTCCAATTTCCAGTGTTGCTATTTAATAAACATCAAGACAAAATGTGTGCATGAATAATACACACACCTTCTACCCAGATGAATTTCTGTGAAAAATGTTTTATATACCAGGAATAGAAATGCAATTTTTTAGTGGTGTCACTGGGCACCAGGCAGATAATTAATTTGTACCTTTGTGAAACTAAGTGTTCCCGTACCTTTTGATGGTCTAATTAAGCTTATAACATCACAAAAATTATGTCATTACAGTTTATTGTGTAATAAATCAGTAAACATCATGTAAACTTGAAAGCTGGATTTCCTGAACACAATCAAAGACTGCAAGAACAGCTCAGCTTCATCTGTCTTAGACCCGTAAAGTACCATCACCCACAAACTATGTTATCATCCAAAACAGGATTTCCTGTTTCCTGGACATGCCGTTGTTAAGCTGTGAGCTTGAGTGTGCCACCAATAAACAGTTTGATGGGGGACAAAATAGGTTTTAAATCATTTGAAATGCTTCAGTTTCAAATATAGGACATCTCTGAAAGCTCATGCATAGCTCCCCTGTAAAATGACTGGTCCCATATACAGAATGAAGAATTTGTAGCCCTAAAATAACTGTCATGTATTCATTCCCTTCCAAATTCTAGATTCCTACCTAGGATGTCTTGTACCACTGTATGTGATATTTTGTAGAGCTGCGTAATATAACCGGTTTACTGGTATTTACCGGTTCAGACATGAAAACGATACGCATTGCGATGCGTTGATCGAAAACCGGTATTTTGACATTCATTCGGAAAACTTTGTAACTCTCCGAAATCTTCGGATATTTCTTTGTTTCATTTGTGTCAAATAGTATTTACATTTTTATTATGTCAGTGTCATGATTTAAAGTTTTTATCAAAGCTTAATGAAGCATAGTGATTTTGTTGTGTTTTTTTCGACTGTAAGTATTTGTTTTGGTCAAAAAACACTTCTTGCAATATATTGCAATACATATCGCAATATATGCTTTCGCATCGCAATATATCGCAATATGAAAATCATATGCAATACCCACCCCTAATGTTTTGAATTCGTGTTTTTGTTTTACTTTTATCTTTATATATGTTTTTTAAATCTGCCCATTGTTTCTATTTCCAGGGATAGGTATACTGACCAAGAGGCCTATCCTGAGTATGAACATGCAGAATCTGCCCCACCGTGGAGGCCCCGACACAAACAAGAGACTTGCCCTCCATGTCAGCATCAGTCTGGACAGAAAGACAGTCGTCAACATAGTGGCAGTGCATTTCTCCTACGACAGGCAACAACAGTGTCACAACTCGGCAGCCATTTTAGAATACATAAGATGTATGTTGTTTCATGAGTGTTCTTTATCATCATGTCCCCAGACTTTCAGGATTCCTGTTTCTTGCATTTCCAAAGGCACCATTCCTCAGTGAGAGCTCAGTACTTTGACTGCCATAAGTCTTGTGAATGGTTACCCATGATGATCTGGGTTAGAATTGGTCTTCAGCTTGTTGTAAGAGGCGACCAACGGGATCGGGTGGCCACACTTGCTGACTTGGGCCTCCTTTCACAAAGCACTAATGTGATCGTAAGTCACTAAGGTAACCTTAGTGCAGCGTTAAAGAATGGGAGTTAAGGTTAACCTTAGTAAAGGTTGCTTCGTGAAGGGAGCCTCTGGTTGACATATCCCAAATGCGTAGATCGCTGCTGGATTGATCACTGGATTGTCTGGTACAGACTTGATTATTAATGGACTATTGCAATGTATCTGGAATATTGCTGATTGCAGAATTAAACAACAAACAGGCGTACAATGTGATATGCATTGCAACATGGGGCCATGATTTCCTGAATGTAATGTGTAATACTGTCCTCAATGATATGAAGATCGGCCGATTGTTACTCCTTGATTCAACCTGATTACAACCCATACTTTTGATGTGTTCCATTCATCATGTAAAAATGTTACAGGATAGGTTCAGCATAAGGGATATAAAACAAGGATGAGTCTGTCCAAAGTCAGAATACTGTGTTGGAGTGTGGTGTTCGTTTTAAACTGTAATAAGGTATCTCTAGCATTAGCTGGGTGGTGGGGCAGCTGAGTGGTTAAATCTTTCTCTTGTCACACCAAAGACCCGGGTTCAATTCTGGTGTCCGCTGCTGTGATATTGCTGGTATATTGCTAAAAGCTGCTTTAAACTAAGACTCACTCACTAACTCACTCACTCACTTATGCACTCACTCACTCACCCACCCACTCACTCACTCACTCACTCACTCACTCACTCACTCACTCACTCACTCACTCACTCACTCACTCACTCACGCACTCACGCACTCACTCATGCACTCACACACTGGGGTCCCAGGTTGTCATTCGTTCAAATTGACTATAATAAGTAATGTTTAAAGAACATGAACTGTTTTTCAGTGAAACTGCTCAAGAATGTCATTATTGTCGGTGACTTCAACACATACATGGACTATGATGCCCCAGTCCGGGTGTTTACTGACAGAGTTGTCTCCCCGTCCAATCCCTGCTACAGCGAGATGAAAGCTCCGCCCAACCAGGCTCAAACAGCCCGAGTTCTGATGATGGACACTTGGGTACAAAGTTCATCCAAAGGGGATGGGTTCACTTTCAGCAACATGGTGAGATATGATGAACACTCAAGCTTTCTACATCATGCTTGGGGTATTTAAGTTATTTGTACAGCTGTGCCTATTTGCACTTATAGAGGGGTACAGAAATATGTGATCTAGTCTACCAGTTGTCCGAGTTCCAGGTTAGATGGCTTACTTTGTGTGCTGGCGATTAGGTGCCTGTACTGGAAAACAATAAGAGTACATTTAGAGTACTGAATGGAATTTAATGGAGTATCAGTAATCTTGTGTTTCGTTTCATATATGCACCACAACATTGCTACTCTTGTGTAAACAGGTAAATGAACAATAAAACAGTACTTTTTCAGATAAATACGTCTGTAAATGATTCTAAGACTGTACACCATTGCTGTGGTGCGTATCTGCTATGTTTTCTAAATTATTTCCTACCTTATCGTGCATATGTTTAATCCATACATACACCGATACGGCCCTTATCTGGAGCCCTGATTTAGCTTTCTATGTACTGGTAGTTTTTTTTCTCATATTTTTGCTATATAATGAAACTTCTTAGTGTAACACTGGGAGGATTTTTGTGCAAAATCAGGAGAATTAGTGTGTTCTGTATCAAGAGTTATGTCATTTATTAGGTTTTTTTTTTGTTATTAATAGGGCTTGTTATTTTCTGTCGGGTTTGTAATTTAATGTAAAGCTGTATTAGGAAGTAACATGGGTAGATTATTTTGTGTTATATCTGTGTGATAGTTGTATAATATCAAGTGTGGTGCTACACCCAATTTTACATCTGGAAGACTTCCCTCAGGTACCTATATTACCTTGTTGTTTTATGCCCTGCTCAGCAATATTCCTGCTTAGGGTGGCAGTCATACCAATATTAGTAAGCAAAGTGAACATCTTGCTTCTTACTAATCCTTATTGAAATAAGCTTTGAAATATGTATTTATGTACCTGTGATATTTGTCCCCACATCCAAGATTGATCAGAAAAATATAAACAAAATCAGACACATATGGAAGTCTTAAGAGTGAGTGAGTGAGTTTGGTTTTACGCCGCTTTTTGCAATATTCCAGCAATATCACGGCGGGGGACACCAGAAATGAGCTTCACACATTGTACCCATGTGGGGAATCGAACCCGGGTCTTTGGCGTGACGAGCCAACGCTTTAACCATCAGGCTACCCCCACCGCCCCAGAAGTCTTAAGAAGGCAATGACAAAATCAGTTCATCATTCGTTCATGTCTTCATGCCCAACAGAATAAGTAATGCTGATGATGTGAATCACTGCCTGTTGTCATCGTATTCCAGTTGTGCAGGTGCTCATGCTGTCGATCACTAGATTGTCTGATTCATGTAGCTGAAATATTGCTGAATGCAGCGTTAAGCAACAAACAACTGATCGGCCTGGTCCAGACTTGCATGTTTACGTCATACAGCTGGAGCATTGCTGAGATAAACAACAAACAAACAAAGTGTAACATTTAAATATTTCATTACTTCCAGCCAACACCAGGATATGAAAGTCGACCAGACCGAATCCTTGTGTCCCGGCAATCCTTCAAAATAAAACTGACCCGCCTGTCTGGAAACGGAACAATACAAAAGCAGATACCAAGGGGCAATCAAACTGAAGCGTGTCCGGTCACTCATCAGAAACGCCTTCTATTCATTTCAAGGATACGCTGGCTTCTCCTGTGATCACGATTGTGGACCCAGAGGAGTCTGTCGATGTGGGATGTGTGTAAAGGGAGATAACTCTGAACGGTGTGACTTACCAAACTGTCATGAATGCAATGGCTATCTTTTTGGCATTTTTATATCCTATTCTTTTTTTACTGGCACTGGCAATTTTATCCTTTTTATATGCCTTACTGAGGGTTTTAGTTGTATCTGCCAAGTTCAACCCAGAAACCTTTTTCTCTATCATGGGTTGCACATGTTGTTTATTCAACCCTCAGCTATACAGTTTTCAGCGTTTATCTAGCAGGCATCGTTATCTCCGAGTATTTACACCAGTAGTGCGACTACCACCAATGGTCTTGTTGATATGTGCCTTGATATTAATTATATTTCTCTTGTTTATTGGAGACAGCTTTTTCCAGAAAGGTTTAGCAACTGCAAGCCTGATAATGGATGAAGAATATTTTCCCTCAGATCATTTGATGTATACTGCACGGCTTGAAATGAAGCCATAGTATAGTGAATGAATTATGTTTCATGCCACTTTCTGTAGTATTCCAGTTATATAATGGCATGTTAGCATAATTTGGAATGAAGCACCAAGAGATGTAGGTCTCAGGTCTTAGATGTTTATCACTGTGTTGAAAACCATGACGACTACTCAACATGCGCCATCATGTTATACAGAAGATAAAACTATGTTATAAACTTCAAACTATAAAAAGTTGGAACTGCCCCCATTTTCAGGAACTTTTGTGTTATATAAACGCTGTACAATAAAATCAATATTTAGGTAGAAAAAAAAGAAAAAAACCCTCCAAACCATGAACATGAGTATATACTGACAATAATCAGGGCAAATTGGGATCCAAACCCATAATCACAGGTTCCTGTCATGACAAAGGGAGACAAGTCTGAACAAGGAATTGCAGCGTCATCTGTGCCCTCTTTTGCACCCAATCAATACCATTTGTGCCTCCAGCAAGCAAACACTTTACAGACTTATGCATTGTCATGCAAATCAGGTTTCCTTTATACTCACTCTTGTGGAAACTGTGTTTTTACAGTTTTGTTAGACATCAGGCCACAGATTAATTAGTCTTGTTTACATATGTTTAGTTATGAATGGATTGAGAAGTGCATATTTTAGTTACATCTGTGTTTTTAAATGACAGTAAGTGTTTCCAGACCAGAGAAATGTGACTGTGATGCATTTTATAGAGTAGATCATCAGCAATAAGACAGTGACTAAACACTGAGGTATACCAGAAATCTACAGCACAGAGATCATCCGAATTCACCCCCACTTTAGTCAGGAATCGAGCAACTCTTTAGCATTGGCTGAAGTATTATTTGGAAAGGAAACACAAGTCTTACCTATAACACCCTGGCCATCTGTAGTATCACTGAATGAGAGCTGATGTTAACACGTGACTTGTTTACCAAATTTAAGAATATTTGATGGCACTGAAAGCTGATATTGACACAGTGTGATTCAATATCATCTGTTTTACCTATCAAGGACATGGAAAACTATTTTCTTGTATTCTTTAGTTGTGACTGATGGGATGCATGAGTGTTAGCTCAGAGCTCCAGATAAGATTTAGCTCATGTGGGTACTATACCCACTGTATTTTTTGGGAGTAGGTATTATGAATGTTGAGTGGGTATTTCATTTTCCGTTACCCACTGCTTTAAAAAAATGTGTGTATTTCATTCATTTTACTCACCTAAGTATTATGTCATTGAGTAAGTTTACTATGCAGGTATGTTCTGCCTTACGTCATATCTAATCAAAACCAACTTAAATATAATGGAAATGATTTCATAAAAAATCACTCATCTTATATTGACAGTACAAGACTTGTCCTATGCTAACAGTACAACTTGATAGCAATCAATGTCTTTTTCATATTGCAAGCTATGTTTATAAATATATTCCGTACGCATTTGTTTTAAACTTTTTGCGTATCTAACATTATAAATGCGTAATTGGTATGCAACAGTTATTTTTCAATGCGTAACTGGAAATTTTCTATGCGTATTTTACCCGGATACGCAGCTTATCTGGGCCTCTGTTAGCTTATCTTTTGCAACTGGTAAATTGTGATACTATGTATATTAGTATTTAAATATATTGTGGTAAAAGAAGATAGTGACCCTTACAACCCATGCGCGGACAGACCATTTGTTCAATATTCAATATATTTAAGGCAAATACAGAAACTGTGATATATTTGTAGGTACAATTTATGTTGATGGTTTCTAGTTTCAGCAATTTGGTTACTTTGTGTAATGTATGTGTTATGAATAATATCTGGATCATTTTCTGCGGGAGAATTATGAGTGTATTAAATAATTACAGGTTTTTGTACATGTTGACCATAGCAATGCATTTTGTCCATGATGTACATTTGTGAAACAAGTAATATATTTGATGTGGCCTGGTGATTATTGATGTAATAGATTGTGGAAGATACATGTAGTATTGTTGACGAGAAACAAACGGTTATGTGTGTACATGTTACAACATGCTTGTGTGCAGATTGTGTATATCAGGGAGTACTTGCTGTTGATACAAGTTATAAATTGCAGTTATATATTGAGTTATAAATCTGTTCATGACTTCAAAAGGAATACAATATTGATTTAAGTTATTTGTGGTATGCATTTCACCTGAGGCAGTATTCGTTTATCCCGAGGCAGCTTTCTACTACATTTGTGGGGGATTTAAGTCATTTATTATACAGCCGTGCGTATTTACACTTGTCGGAGGGGTACAGAAAGTATGTGAAGTAGACTCCCAGCTGTTTAGACTTCCATCTTGTGAGTGGCAGTATTCGTTTCACCTGAGGTAGTATTCATTTCACCTGAGGCAGTATTCATTTCACCTGAGGCAGTATTCATTTCACCTGAGGCAGTATTCATTTCACCTGAGGTAGTATTCATTTCACCTGAGGTAGTATTCATTTCAACTGAGGTAGTATTCATTTCACCTGAGGCAGTATTCATTTCACCTGAGGTAGTATTCATTTCACCTGAGGTAGTATTCATTTCACCTGAGGCAGTATTCATTTCACCTGAGGCAGTATCATTTCACCTGACGCAATATTCATTTCACCTATCCACCTCTGATGGTGTGAGCATTCTTTCATCTGGACAAAGCTGCTTACTCATGAAACCATTTGATGGGGATGGGTGTTCTGTAATTTGTTAGTCAGCCGTCGTGTTACCATGGGGTCCACTTTAGTCCAACCATGTCACCAGAAAGTGAAGTGATGTAAGACTACCAGCTGTGAAGACTTCCATTTTGTGAAGTGGAGTATTCATTTCAGGTGAACCTAATATTCATTTCACCTGAAGTAGTATTAGTTTCACTTCACCAGAGGTGACATGGTTGGCCTAAAGTGGACCCCATGGTTGACTGAACACTTTACAGAACACCCATCACTATAGTTTCATGAGTACTTGCAGCTTTTGTCCAGAGGTACGTCTTCATGCTCACACCATCAACGCTTGGATTGCAAAATGTAGTCTTGATTATAATTGTGAGATTCAGTCATATATCTGTAAGGATACTCTGAACTTTTTTCCTCAAACCTACGGTGTGGTGAGATGAGATTTATGGTTGCCGTCAAGATTATTTCACTCATGAAGCAAGTGTGTTATGGCTGCTTGTGCGAGTACAGAATAACCCTACTTGTAAAGTGATTACTCTCCCAATTAGATAAACTATGCTACATTTTACCATAGATCTTAAGTTTAATGTTAACATACACCCAGCAACATTCCAGCTATATATATAATAATTGTAAATAATTGAGTCTGGACCAGACGATTCAGTGATCAACAGCATGAGCATATTTACCATTTACCATAGATACCTGACTCGGACACATTATATATACGTTTGAGCCCCAACCTCATGCCCAGTGAGAGATGGCAGTTTGTGGGTGAGTTCATTTTTAACGCCTTATTAGCTGTATTTCAGCCATAGAGCGACCTGTGTTTGAGGGAGAAAATATTTTACTTCCTGTTTGCTGATTTTAAAATGAGAATTGTTCGCAGTCCCTTAGATGGTTTGGCTCCTTGATTCAGGGAACAAAAACTATTTCTTTAAGCAGTGATAGTTACTTTTTGAATCGCTGACAATAACCCTGAGTCCCTCACCATAATGCCTCTTACAGCAATACCGGACCACCCTGCAGAATGTCGGCCCCTAAAGCCATGAGTCATGACCCGGTGATTGGCGCAGACAAACCAGCGTCATCTTCGTTGTGAGACTTGTTCGAAAGCATCACCAGTGGATCGTGTCTGGCGACAAACAGACAAAGCTCTGCACATAATATAACAGCAACACCTCGCTATGATACGAGATAGGTCCAGAGATAAAGTAGGCGACAGACCCATACGAGGTCTCGCATTCACGTGCTTATCTGTTAGCCTGGATGATTCAGTTACTCAATGATAATGAATCATCAGTGATACAATTAATATTTTCATAAATGTTGTAGATGTATTACTATTACACCAATGACTTTTTTTGTAAATATACTGAGAGTAATAATTAATGGGGACTACACAATCAACGAGGTCCAGGGTACAGGCTATGCTGTATCGCTGGCTATGTTGGTAAACAAATCAGAAGACGGTTATCACGATAAGATGGAATATTTCTGGGTCGTAGGAACCTACGAATGGGCATTATTAGGTCAAAACGCCCGGACACCTAGCGATAAGATTGTATCGGGCAAAAACTGTAACAGGGGGCATCTCAAGGTATTTTTTTCTGGTCTCCCATCGGTACAATGTATGAAGCCTACTCTGTGCAGGTACCTTGAGATCGCGAGTACCCCGGAACGGATTTAGGGTAGGATTAAGGAAATGCGAGCTCTGAAGACATGAGCTCTGGCGATCACGTACTGTATGCTATGACTAATAGTCTTATCACTGTTTATCTCAATGTTATCCTTAGCAACCTTATCACGCCTAGTCTCGCCTTGCATGAGTAATTCGTTACCACAGATGAAGACACTGATATACAAAGGTTGCTTTGACAAGAATGTTTCTGTGGTCTGATGGTTAGAGTGTAGACCCAGAGAGAATACGGACGGCGGAAGGTTCCTCGAACGATTAAAATGGTACTTGTTATTTTACTTCCAAGAGCTCACCAGCATGGGAAGTCGACTTGGACTCTGTGTCTGAGTGAATGTTCATGTTAAACTGCTATATGGCGTTTCGGTGGGTAGGGCTAGGAGCATGCGGGCGTATTGGCTTAATGTGTTAGAATAGGCAAAAGTTAGGTCCTGATCACTGAGTTTAGTTTTACGCCGCTTTTAGCAATATTCCAGCAATATCATGGCGGGGGACATCAGAAATGGGCTTCACACATTGTACCCATGTGGGGAATCGAACCCGGGTCTTCGGCGTGACAAGGGAACGCCGTAACCACTTGGCTACCACTGGTTAGGTAGATCCTGGACATCCCACGTCCGTGAAGCCCATGGGGATATGGTGCTGACAAACTTACAAATACTATCATTGTGAACTGGGATTCGAACCAATAATTGAAGCGGGAGTCGAATCAATAATTACAGGTTTCTGGGACGCCCTAGGGACCCAAGTCGGTTCATCCTTGTCCCCACGAATGATACGATCAGCTGACAAGGCATAAGATGTATGGCAAAAACATAATCTTTTTTTACAAATCTTTGCCATTTTCCTATATTTCCATTCGAGTTTATTTTCAAATATTGTATTTGTACCTACTACATATTTTAATATTTTCTTCTACGTGTTGTTGTACGCCGCAGTGAGCGATCTAAATGCTTGATTCTTGGCCAGACAAGCATGTAGTTAAAATGTCAAGTTGTCGGGATCGGTGGCACACATTCATCCAATTTAGAAAACCTGACCACTTGCTCGGGTGAAGTCGATTCAACCAGCAGCTAGAAAGGGACATAGTCGACCATGCATACCGTTTAACGCACATCAGCACCCTCTGATTTCATAGTACATTCGCATTAATAAGTAAGTAAGTAAAATGAAATGAAATAATGAATGAATAATAAATAAATAGATGAATGAATGAATGAATGAATAAATAGTTCTGTTTTAAAAAACAAAAACAATCACAACCCCAAACATCCAAATTTGTCTTTACAATACAAGGATATATATCCTATAAGTTATTTGCTATATATGGTACGACCCTGTCTTTGTAATTCACAAAATACTTTCTCTAATAAATGTGGAGACAGAACGATGGGCTGGGCAGCAGATACATTGACGGACAAAAGAAAGTATTCATCCATCTTTGATGGTGGCGAAAACTTAACAAGAAATGCTTATTCGATGATGGTATATTTCTTATGGGTGGCATAGTTGTGATATGTTTTTGACCTTCAGTTTGCGGTGTTTTTGAGACTGTTTTCAGTCTAGTAACGTTTTGATAACGTTTCTAAATTAGGAGACCAATCCGTTTTTCCGGTATGTACTTTCTTTTTTGCCCTGCTGGTTGTATGTGTTTACCGTGGGAGAAATTCAAGGAGACTGTGTTATCAGTACCCGACGCAGCTTGTGTTCGAGCAGTGCGGTAGGCGACCTATTTTACAGCCAGGTGTATTGCGCCACACTGTGACACCGGCTTGTCCTGTTATATATCAACCTTCATCGTAACGTTCACCTGACCATGAGTCACAACAGGTCAATCATTGTGCTTCCTCTTTAGTTATGTGTCGACAAACAAGGAAATTAATGACATACCAGTTCTCTCGTTAAAGAAAGCTGTATGTCTGTATAATGTTTTGAGTTTTGTTTAATTTGAATCTCAAACTAACGACTGAGATTGACTTTGCTCATCTGCTAAAATGTACAGTAAATAAGCGTCGTGCCCATGAATACTGGGCCTTGCGGCTGGTCAAGCTTCACGTTTTCAATGCAACCTAATCCGTAGGATTTGTGTTTCATGCATATTCTTTGGAATTCAACAACCGATATGAACGTACGTCCACGTCTTTCTGTCCATCCCAACCGAATATTTTTTTCTACCAATGTTGTTGTTAAGGCGTTAGCGTCTAAGACGAACACCAACGATATATTCTGCATTAGTTCCATAGTTGAAACAATTTCTTTTTGTCATCTGTCAGAATGGCTGTTCTGTGGATAAAGGCAGTACAAATCCATACCCAATTACAAGATTTGTTGTTTTCATGAAATTTAAAAATAAATAAATAAATAAACAAACCAAAGGCACAGACAAAACAAATCCAGGAATATCCGGGTTAGAATTTGTCTTCAACAACCCATGCACTGACCGCTTCTGCACAAAATATAAAATGTGAAGTGAAGTTTTGATATGACCCCTACGTAAACACGGTGACGACCAATTTATCTTTTGTTTGAAGGTGAAGGTTATCTAAGTCATGTGATTGCTACATACCGGCATTCGTCATATGGTACGATCGGTATAGGGTACATAAAAGAAAAACAGATACATAGAGGGATCATAACCTTTCCTCTTCATCATCCCTTTCAGCTCATCACGGTGAATACCGTATTGCATCCAAACCAACACAATGGGATTCTGGAGCCAGCTGAGATTGTTGATGTGGAAAAACTTCCTCCTGCAAAGAAGAAAAAAAATGCGTGACGCTATTTGAGATCTCCATGCCTTTGTTCTTCGCCGTCTTGTTTCTTCTTCTGAGATTCAACATTAAAATCACACCGAAGAGCGAGGCCACTCTCTATGACGACTTCCCTGTCACTGCAAATGGAACTGTCTTGGACTGGAAAGGGTCGGATTTGGAAAATATCATACTGTACACCCCAAACACAACGTTACTGAATAATCTGATGACACAGGTGGAGATCGACTTGGGTGTCAAACAAGCCAATGGTAAGTCTCACTGACGATCAAGGAAATTGCTGCATTTGAAAAATATCGTTAAATTGCTTTAAAGGTATTTTTCCAAATCTAGTTTCTATGGCAACCACTATTTTGGTGACCACGTGCAGTTAATTTTGGAAGGGTAGGACGTTATCACCTATTCATATGTTTCGCTAACCCGTGGTGTCAGAAGTTTAGAAATGCAATCATTCACGTCTATATTAATCCTCTTATATTGATATATGAACGCCTGCAATATTCCAGCAACACGGCAACAGAAATGGGCTTCACACATTGTACCCGATTCGAACCGGGTCTTCGGCGTGACGAGCCAACGCTTTAAAATAGGCTAAATTAAAACATTTCACATTTCGCGATTCTCTATATCTGAATGAATTAAGGGTAAATTTGTTTGTATTGATTAGGTTATGTCACGCTAAAGATGTGCTTACACCTTACCTACAAGTAATGGCAACATTATGCTTGAAAATGCAACCATCCCAAAAGCATGGGATACCGGTATTATCATTCCACTGTTTAAGGGTGGGGATAATAATTACCGCCCTGTCACATTACTTAGTACTTTCAGTAAGGTTTTCATGTGTATAATTAATAAAAGGCTCGTTTGCTTATCTGCATTTAAAATAGAATTTATAAATCATAAGCATGCAGGCTTTAGAGAGGGTTATTCCACTAATGCTCATTCTCCAAAACCTTGTAAGCGTTATATCTCACGTAAAGGCGGTAGATTTTATGTTTTATTTGTAGATTTTGCCACTAAATTCGATTCAGTTGATAGGAATTTATTGTGGAAGCTGCTCACCCAGCACGGCTTGTGTGAAAGCATATGTGCATTATAATGGTGTTATGTCATCAATATTTAATTTCAATATCGGTGTACGCCAAGGCTGTATACTAAGCCCATTTTGTTCATGTTCTTTATAAATGAATAAGCGACAGGTGTGTATCAATATTGTACAGATGGTATTCAGTTGCACCTAGATATTGTTAAGGTATTTTTCTTATTATTTGCTGATGTTGTCATCGTGTTCTGAAGTACATTGAAGGGTGTACAAAACTAATTACCTTGTTGAAAAGTCATTGCCTTGAATTTAAGCTGAATGTAAATGCAAAAAAGAAAGTTGTTGTCTTTAAGAATGGCGTCAAATTGTCTAAATCAGAAAAGTGGCTGCATAACGGAGAACACTTAGAACTTGTTAAAGGGTATAAATATCTAGGTGTCCATTTTGCCAAACGTCATCATGGTATCACCATGCAAATAGTGCTGTTGTACAGAGACGAAAGGTTTTTATGGGCATTTACAGAAATTTAAAGAAATTGATCATGTAAATTCAAAACATATTTCAAAATATTTGATACAACAAATAACTCAATTTTGCTATATGGGGCGGAAGTTTGGGGCTTTCTCGTTGGAAGCAGTGCAAAAGGTTCACTTGAACGCTAGTAAAAACGTTACATTAAATAGTCCAAATGTGATGATTTATGGTGAATGAGGTCGCTTCTCACTTTATCTAGAAGCACAGATAAATGTTATCAAATGCTGGGTAAAGCTCTTGGATATGACTGTATCAAGATTTCCCAAGAAATCTTATAACATGATGTGTTTGTTCGACACTAACGGAAAATCAAATTGGGTAAAGAAAGTTAGAAATTTACATTGTGGTTTTACTGATGTATTTTAGTCATAAAAGATTACTTGGTCAAAGTCATTTTATAATGCTCTATCACAAAGATTAAACAATATGTACATTCAGACCTGGAATTCATCTTTAGTACAGTCGCCAAAATCCACTTTTTTACAGTACATGTACTTGTAATTCTGTTTTAAATTAATTTTAAATACAGAGCCATACCTCCACGATATTATTCTCAGAGAATTCTTCGTTTCATTATCCAGATGTAGATGTTCTTCACATGATCTTATGATCGAAAAGGGCAGATATTATCATACTCTAAGAGGAAACAGATTTTGCAAATTTTGTACATTAAAATAATGTAATTGAAGATGAGTTCCAATGTTTGCTGGTATGTCCTTACCACAGATTTAAGAACAAAATATCTACTGCAATGTTACCATACATATCCTACTACGTGTAAATATAATTTGTTAATGAACTCTAATGATACAACTTATGTTCGCAGACTTGGTATGTATATCCACCATGCTTTTGTACGTAGAAAAACAACGCCTGCAAACATTGTGATTGTATGCCATTATTGCTATCAGACCTTGTACTATAGGCCTGTGGCCTCTTCAGTACTGGAATAAAAGAGATTTTATTTAATTTGATTTGAATCGGATTCGATTCCCCACAAGGGTACAGTGTGTGAAGCTCAGTTCCAGTATCCCCCGCCTGATATTGCTGGAATATTGCTAAAAGCGGCGTAAAACCATACTCACTCACTACAGGCAGTTAAACACATCACGACAGAAGGACACTCACTCGCATAAAAGAATAGAAACAATGGAACTTAACGTCACGTCGAAGACCCGGATTCGATTCCCCACATGGGTACAATGTGTGAAGCCCATTTCTGGTGTGCCCCTCCGTGATATTGTTGGAATATTGCTAATAGCGGCGTAAATCTAAACTCACTCACACACAGGGTAGGTGAATGTTGAGATGATGCATTTTTAATCAATAGGCAATCAAGAGGGCATTTACTATTATCCTTGATAAGTAGTTAACTTGGTATTAATCGACACGCCCTCTCTGGACTCCACCAATTACTGTTATCTTCTCACAAAAAACAAAACAAAACAAAACATGTAGCTTATTTATGCTTATTTCATTGAACGAGTCGATATGCTATTATAAAAATGTCCATTTAATTTATAACATGATAGTCATTACTACGATAACAATGCGATTATCTGTTTTTTAACTTTATTTAAGGATTTCAAACAAATACAGGAAGGAGGTGAAGAAAAAAACCAAAACAAAACAAACAGCTAATAGGGCCCGTAAGTAGGTTACGGCACTTCGCGAGACCTTAGTACTTCCGGTGACAAACAACGTTTCATACCTTTTCGAATGGTTTCATGGTTGTCAGATGGCAGTAAGGAACCGATAATCCTTGCAGGAATAACAAATTTGGGATCTGCAAACCAAAACAAAGGCCTGCGCCTGTTGAGAATAGAAAATAAGGCAGTCGTCAAATATTGGGTCCTCGGGATTTCCCATTCCATTGTGTTTAGATGTTCGAACAAACCTCGGAGGCATGTTTTCATCTTGTACAGAAATTAAAGTCACCACGTCAGATGAAGTAGTAATAAAATCTCTGTCCAACGCGCGAGAAAAAGAAATTCCCCTTAATTACACTCAGTGTTATCAGAGACCATATAGTAGATGGTCTCAGGTGTTATCCATAATATTCACAGATATCATTGGAAAAAAAGTTATTTCAAATGAAACTTACCGATGTTGATACCACTATGAACCATTTATGTACCATGTTTCATCTTCCTGAAACAAGAACAAAGCTAACTGAAAAGAACGTTGCAACTTCCAGTGACGGTGATGGGGTTTGCAACTCCGACGGAGATGTTGCGTCACTACAAGTTTCACCCTGCCAACATCACCTACGCTGTAGAATTCAACGTCTCGTCCACAGCGACGTCATTGCCGACGTCGCTCCATTACAGTTTGCGCCCCAAAATGGAAGACTGGAACACAGACTCCATCACCTCATTTTCAGGGAGTAACGCCCCCCGGGATGGGACACCAGGTGAGTCTTGAGGGGGAAAGGTCGTTAAAGGACGACGTTGTTTGTCAGCGGCGTTTAACATAGAGTGGGTCAAGGAAAATCTGCCAGCACAGAGAGTGTCCGGTTTGGGGCGTCCATATTAAACTGGGTCCGGACTTGCCGCAATATACGCGCAATAATCTTGACATTAAACCCATTGAAAGTAGCCTGAAACATATCAATGCAATAGACAGATGGACAGACAAAGGTAAAATGTCTGTTCCAATTGTTTTCCCAGATTATCGATCAACAGGATTCCTCCTTCTTCAAAAAACAATCGACGAAGCCATCATCAAGGAGTGGAACACTAGTGCCTCGGATCTGCTCGATAACCTTGACCTTCGCCTCCAGCGCATGCCGTTCCCGCCGTATAGAGAGGATGGGATGGCGTCCCTGCTGCAGATCATGTTTCCAGTGCTTCTCATGATGAGCTTCATCCTGATGGCGATCCAGACCACAAAGGGAGTTGTGTATGAAAAGGAAAGGAAACTGAAAGTAAGGCAGTCAGGGGGATATATCCTCTGAGACAAAACGCAGCAACATCTAAGCATTAGAATCTAGGTATAGCTGTAGGTCCAGGGCGACAATATAGTGATCTCGATCTCTATGGTGCTTTCGCGAAATACTTCTCAAGATTTTGTTGCTTTTTCACTCCATTCTGGTTTATTCGAAACAAACATCAAATATGTTTCTGATACACATATATGCTTAGCGTATTGCCTCGTCTCGAACGCCGTACAACTGAAGATGCTCCTAAAGCAGTTGGTTTATTGGAATTGGTAAACTCACCTGGTTGGCCAGTGTAGATTTCTAGCGATTCCCGAAATGCCGTCAAAACTGTTATGGAGTTTCCTTAATACTGTAAAATCTCATTACAGGGGAACCGCTTTATAGTGTTTGTGAAAACCTGAAATGGTCTAAGACTTGTTAATAATCAGATATTAGAAACGCATCCTAAAAAACCTTTTCGACAACTGTAACTTGACTCATTCAATTGTTGTCATACACCCAATGTATGAGATTGTCGAAGTAAAAGTCTAGTTCATATCCGATAATTTACCAAGTTTTACTCAATTCCTAGTTCCACAGATCCTGAGGGCCAAATGAGACTCTTGGTGTGATTGTCGTGTGGTACGTGTATCCCGGTGCCATCATTGATTTTAAGGGATCTCATGATTTTCCCTGCACAGTGTCTGTCTTGGAAGATAGTATTTAGCAAGACTGGGTATTCTCTAGCGTTATTGTTTTATATACTGTTATTTTAATTCTAAGGAATCCATGAAGCTGATGGGATTGAGTGCTGCGGCTCATTGGGCGTCTTGGTTTCTGACCATCTTCATTTACATCCTGGTATTCTCGGCCATTTACACCGTGGCCTGTGGTGTCAACATCAGTGGCAATGGCGCCGTCCTCGCCAACTCCGACCCGTCTGTCTTAATGGTGTTCCTCATCTGTTACGGAGTGGCCATCATATCTTACTGCTTCATGATCAGCGCCTTCACACATAGAGGTGAGTCACCAATATTCCCGTTAAATACCACAGCGCCAAAAGACAAGCTGGTAATGGTATGGTGCCAACAAATATATTTGTTTTTGTTTGTCACCCCCCTCTAGTGTTCGACTGGGTATATGACGGCGCTCTTTGAATAATCGCGATCATTAAATGCAATGACTGACATCATGAGCATCGATCTTTGGATACGTTGACAAACGCTGACATCAACTGAATCACAGTCTGGATATCGTTATTTGCTTCTTACGCCATGTTTATGAATTATTCAGCACATTCCATCAACCATGCAACCAGTAATAGTCAATGAATTTCATCACCCACGTAGTGAGTTTATTTAGTGAATTTCATCACCCACGATTTTCTTGAATTCAATGAATTCCATCAACCATGTAGTGAGTTACGGTCGATCAATTTCATCATCCACGTATTCAGTTATATTCAATGATGTCCTCATCCATTAAGTCAGTTATATTCAATGATGTCCTCATCTATTTCAGCCACTACTGCTTCAGCGGTTTCCGCCATCATCTACTTCATCACATACTGCCCGTACTTCTACCTTCAAACCATCTACACCGACATGACTCGACCCCAGAAGCTGTCTTCGTGTCTGCTGTTTAACGTTGCCATCGGCATGGGTGCTAACGTCTTTGGTTTATATGAAGGCACTGGTAAGAAGCATTCCTATTGGTTTAATTTAAGATAATGGGCATTAAAGTAATTTTGTATTAACCGCACGTCTGCATTATCACGGGTACTTGCAAGTTGTCTAACTATTGAAGCTATGAAGCTAACTATGTGTATTTACTATGAGCAACGTTCCCTGTTGTACGATGCGCACACATATTTATAGAAATCGATTTTTCGTAATGTTTCTTCTTCATATAATTTTCATTATTATGTTTTGATTATTGCCTTTAATTTTGGAGACTGGGCCTTGTTACATAACCAACGTCGGAATGAAAAATAGCAGTACCCCAAGACAAATGGTTGACTGAGAAGAATACTTCATAAGCCTAAACGAAAGTGTACCTTATCTTAGAACCTAAACATTTGTTCTGCTGTGCCTAAACATTCAATCTGTTCTGATGATGTTGTTTGTTTCTGTGAACTAGGTGTAGGTGTACAGTGGTCGAACTTCGACCAGCCCGTCTCGGAAAGTGACAACTTCTCCCTGCTGGACGCCATGTTGATGTTGCTAGGCGACACGGCAATTCATCTCCTCATCACCTGGTATATTGACAATGTCTGGCCAGGGGAGTTTGGTGTACCGAAACCATTCTACTTCCTCTTCACTGTAAGTACTTGACATTGTTGGTCATAGTGTTGCCATGTTACCTTGAACATTAGTCAGACTTTTCCAGGAAATGCACCATCACTTTAGGCCTATTTTCCTGATGTCGTTCCTATAGATACGCCTTAAAATGTTATGAATCTTGTTCCTAGGCAACGTACTGGTGTGGCTCAAACCAGGTCAAACCTAATGATTTCGACGTAACGAACCAAGACAGTACGCACTTTGAAAAGGAGCCAACGGGAATGCAAGCTGGAATCTCCATCAGAAACCTTAGAAAGGTAACATCTGTCTCGGATGTGTTTGTCTGTGATTCATCCGTGACCGTCCCGTGAAGAACGGGTTAGAATTGGTCTTCAGCAACCCATGCTTGTCGTAAGAGGCGTAACAGGATCGGGTTGTCAAATTCGCTGACTTGGTTGACACATGTCATCGAATGAAAATTGCGTAGATCGATGTTCATGATGTTGATCACTAGATTGCTTCGTCCAACTTGGAATATTTACAGACCCCCGCCATATAGCTGGAACATTGCTGAGTGCGACGTTAAACAACAAACAAACCATTCGTCATCATGCGTGTTTTTCTCTCCAAACTGCTGGACCCAGTCCACCAAGAAGGGAACTACTGGGCGGAAATGTTACACTGAATGTGTCGTTGTAGGTGTTTAGTAGTGGTTCGAGAAAGAAGGTAGCTGTGGATGGGATGAGTCTCAACATGTTCGAGGGTCAGATCTCTGTTCTCCTGGGTCACAACGGCGCTGGGAAAACTACAACCATGTCTGTTCTTACAGGTACGGTATGTTTTGTACATTAGGTATTAGAATATGCCTTTACTTTACCATGCACGTTTAATGATGAGTTGGATTATACCACGATAGATCCTGGTAGTGAATACCGGGATGCTTAGCATCGTCGTGAAATGCTCTTCTCTTTTAGCTACATAAGGGAAAATAAGTTTATACACATACCACTAATCGAATATGCCAGATGCTGTTTGAGGTACGCTGTAAATAATTTTGTTTGTTGCGTCCTGTTGTGGTTTGAAGCAGAATTATCGTCTTTCACTTGCTGCTGATGTGGATCTTGTGTCTTGATATACACATGCCTGGAACATAGGGTCTTTTGTTATTCATCCACCCGTATTGTTTGTTTCATCCACCCGTATTGTTTCGTGCGATCTTCAAATCAGAGGTTCCACACAACCACATGATGCATCCTTAGTTCTCCACTACACTGGGAGGAGAAACAATGTATCTCTATGTTTGATTTTTGAAGGTTTCATCCCTGCATCTGGAGGCACCGCCATTGTGAACGGTTACGACATCAACAACGACATCCAGAGTGTCCGGCAGAGTCTAGGTCTCTGCCCTCAACACAACATCCTGTTTGATACTCTCACAGTTCAGGAGCACATGCAGTTCTTCGCTAATGTGAGTAGCCTCTGTCAAACCTTGAAACATGTATATGATGTGTAGGTTTTAGGATGTAACACGGTATAAATTAGATAACACTGCCTCAGTAAAGAACAGATACTAGTGCTTTTGGTGGTGAGGAGTCCCATCCGGGATTCGAACCCACACCTAAAGAGTCAGGCACCTAAAAGCCAGCTCACACAGTCCTCGATCAAATAGGCTCAGCCACCGAGAGCTCCACAAAATAGTACCCAGTTCTTTGTGTACACCTCTGACAAGTGTACAATTGGCACGGCTTTCCGAAAGCTACGAATACGAAATGCAATTTAGAAAGTGGCATTGAGCCCCCATGCTGTTAGTGATAAATGTGAAATTCGTATTCACTTTGCGATCTACAAATATATCTCAATATACCTACATTTCACATTGTAGATACCAAGTTGTATTATCAGGATAACACATTTAAAGCCTCAGTGTCGCTTTCACAAACTTCTCATGGTTGATGTGTGGAAGACATTTCCAAGATGATGTTTGGTGTAATTCACTATTTTATATTTTACTATATGCTCCCGCGTTTTATACCACTCCCCCAACTTATCCCTGACCTGTGATGACAACCTAATTGTAAAATCGTTGTGCTGCAACTAGTTCTGTTGAATCTTATGGATAACAACTTCTTGATATATCTTTCACAACGTTTCAGGGCTAGTTCTTGAGGAAGGGGCAGAAACGTTGCGAAAAATATAAATTCTGTACCTATCAGCGTAGGCCAGGGTTAGAATTGGTCTTCAGCAATTCATGCCTGTCGTAGGGGACGACAAGTGGGATTAGTTGATCATGCTCGCTGACCATGCTTATGGTGTAAATCACGATATGGGCTGGTGATTACCTATAGCGTCATGTTGCTGGAATATAAGTACCGGGTGCAGCGGTAAACATACAAAAAAAACAACTATACCTCGGCCTACCAATGATAAGTTGTTGTTTTGTTTTCAGCTGAAGGGATGCCCTCAAAGTGGCAGAGAAGCTGAGATCAGGGCAATGATCAGCCAGGTCGGCTTGGACTCTAAAAGAAATACACAGTCTCAACACCTGTCTGGAGGACAGAAGAGGAAGCTGTCCGTAGGCATTGCCCTGATCGGAGGGTCCAAGGTACACTGAGTCAGACTCTTACAGTTGACCTAAACATAGTTCGGACGTCATTGTTTCGACACTTCGATGTCTTTTCACAAGCGTCTCGGTATGTCTTCAAAGTGTATGTGTGTATTACACTATGAAGGCATCATTGTTTGTCTTAGTCTACCTCTTGATCCACTTGGATGTGTTTGGCAGATGACTTCTTCTTCTGTGTTCAGATCGTTATCCTGGATGAGCCTACTTCCGGTATGGATCCTGCAGCCAGAAGACAGACATGGGACATCCTTCAGAGGAACAAGCAGGGCCGGACCATGCTTCTGACCACTCACTTCATGGACGAGGCTGACCTCCTGGGTGACCGCATCGCCATCATGGCAGAAGGGGTGGTCAAGTGCTGTGGGACATCATACTTCCTGAAGAAACTGTACGGTAATATATCCGGTTACAGTATTTTGTGATGACATATAACTAGCACTTGAAGACGGAACTGTTGTTTGTCTACCTGAATGAAAGTATGGTCTTCAGAGTAAGACATCAAAGGTCACATGAACAAAAATAAAGCAATTCCAATATTAGATCATTTTCCTTACATTGCAACGTCATGTTTATATCATTTGGTGACTTCAAATTCAACTTGAATTCTTTGTGAGGTCATTCGGCAAAGTTTGAAGAGGAAGCCAATACTAGGAATAGATTGGTGACAACCATTCGGGAATCGTCATATATCAACGTATCCTGCTCAACTGATATCATCACTTGTTTGACATCATTTATTCAAACATCTTGACTCGATATTAATATCATCACATCAATGGTTTTATTAAATCTAAAATAAAAATTCAGTCGTTTCTTTTGTCTCAAACTCGTCCGTGGATACCCTCCTGATCCCCGAGCCCGTCTAACAGTCATCGTTGCGGGCACTGCCACGTTTATGTGTAGCTAAAGACTCTGGAATTGCAACAATTACTCTTCCTGTTTTGGAATGAAATACTATGCATCTTTTCCATCTCCAGGAGCTGGCTACCACCTGGTGATGGTGAAGGAACCCAACTGTCAGGTGGCGTCAGTGACGGCAGTTGTCCAGCAGCACGTCCCTACAGCAGTCATGGAGAGTGAGATCAATGCTGAACTCTCCTACCTGCTGCCTGATGACCAGTCAGCTAACTTTGCTGCTCTCTTCAATGAGATTGAAACACGAAGAAGGGAGTTGGGCATTTCCTCTTTTGGTACGACAGCAACCACGATGGAAGAAGTGTTCTTGAAGTAAGAGCAATATGTTAAAGTTTCATCGAATCCAAACATCTGGTATCGAATGTGTAATGATGCAATGTTTTATGGTTTTGGAGGAGATACACGTACTCTGTTTTAAACATTGAATTATATAATAGTTTATTTGCACATTAGATACCTTTTATTTCAATGTTTGAACCGATCGCGTTCATCAGGCTCGATAAGCTGTTGTTCCAATATCGACATTACACAATTCTAAAGGGTTGTCCGAAGGCATTGTTCCATGCATCTGTTTACAGGTTGTTTTCAAACGTAAGTTATTGTGAGTAAAAACATGATGATTTAAGGTATCAAATGAAATTAGATTTTGACTGATCAGACTGAGGCCCACGTTTTTGCGATTTTATGGATTGACAACTTCTTTATTGCAACAGATGCGGTTGATTAAATTTTCTAAAGAAGCTGTCAATCCATAAAGTTCGTTCCTTTTCATCTTACCAGCTTCTAAACGCAACTTACATAAAATGATTGAAGTAACATTACAATCTATTTAGTGGTTTGGAAGTAATGAATTGACTTTGGTGAACAGAGTCGATGTGGAACCGTCCGATTCAGAGACTGATTTGAAGGTAAAAACAACAGCTGGCATCGTGAACAGTGAAGGTTTTACTAACGCTGCTATGGAACACCCTGGAGAAGAACCCGACGAGAATGGATTTGGTCTCTCAAACATGGGTTCCTATGGAGCTTTATCTGGACGAGGAGACGACGCGAAACTGCTGGGTTTGTGATTAACTGGCCATAATCATGACGCATTTTGTCCCGTCACCGACAAACCGAAATGTTTTGGATTGAGAACCTTTTTGTACGGTGCACCATGTCGTTTGGGCTCTTTAACACAAGAAACGAAACTGTTTGCTCTTTTCTGAGTCTATTAAGAGACCCATAATATAGACTCATTTTAGCAAGTATCTCGTTGATGGGTGAGCGTATGATAACTGGGTTATTATTATTACTATTGGATGGAACGGCGCAGCTAATGGGTGGGAAAAGGTATATCCGTCTGTTTCGCAATCACACATTGTTATCGTTGTAATAACATTGTTTATGGTAGTATGGGGCCTGAAACCAGTAACCACATTTTCGCATCCTAGATACCAATTAAGCTTCTCTGTTCATCCGAACAATTACCGTGGGTCCCATCAAACACCCAAGACCTGCATCACACGGGAACACCTCTAGAATGCAGCTAGCGCAACAAGAAGTAACTGAAATACTGTTCTACAACTTGAATGTCTTCTCTTCCAGCTTTCAACCGAGGGTTTCACAAAGTGAGAGGTGTCCAACTGGAGCTATCCCGATTCCGAGGAATGTTTATAAAGAAAATGATCCTGACTCTAAGGAACAAGTTCATGACGATGATGCAACTCTTCATCCCTGTTATCTTTGGAATTGCAGTCTTCGCAGCCCTTACCGCCTCTGGTTCCGGTCGAAAGGACGAAGGACCTATCACTCTGGACATGAGACAGTTTAACAACACTATTGTCCCTTACCAAAACGGAAGCCCGCCAGTACAACTAACAACAGATCTTACCAGCAACTTTGTCAGCCTTTTCGATAGAACTTCCAACAAACCAAAATGGGTGGAATTGGACACGTTCACGAATATGTCCAACTACTTTCTGTCCACGGTCGAGGACATTGGAGTGACTGTATTTGATGTGAAATACATAATTGCTGCAGAATTTGAATCAAACACTACCGCTCGTGGCCACTACAATGGTCAACCATATCACACACCACCAATAATTTTGTCATCTCTGCTGAATGGGATCCTTAGATATTTCACATCCCCAGATCATTCCATAACAACAACCAACTTCCCTCTTCCGCAAAACCAGTCTGACAGTTCTCGGACAACTCTTGTAGCAGGAGCTGGAACTGGGTTCGGGATTTCCTTCGTCTTGATCTTTGGCATGGCCTTCCTAACGTCATCCTTTGTACATTTCCTGATCAAGGAGAGGCAGGTTGGCGCGAAGCATCTTCAGGTGGTCAGTGGAGTTGGGCCGTTTGTATTCTGGATGTCGAATTTCGCCTGGGACTTCATCAACTACATGATTCCCTGTGTTGGTCTCCTGATAGTGTTCGCTGCATTCCAGTCGGAAGCCTATGTTGAGGACGGGAGACTGGGTATTGTGTTCCTCATCTTCGTGGTGTATGGCTGGGCAGTACTCCCCTTCATGTACACACTGCAGTATTTATTCAAAGTTCCTGCATCTGGAATGGCCATGATCATCATTCTCAACATCGTTACAGGTATGGCGGAAGTTATTGTCGATGTATTATATACTACATAGCAGTCATGCTTTTGAAAGCATATTTTTAATACGTCACCAGTTTGAGTGGCTACTTAACAATTTATGTAAATGTAAACAGGAACTGAGTGAGTGAGTGAGCGAGTATAACTTTACGCCGCTTTTAGCAATAGTCCAGCAATATCACGGCGGGGGACATCAGAAATGGGCTTCACATATTGTACCCATGTGGGGAATCGAACCCGGGTCTTCGGCTTGACGAGCGAACGCTTTAACCACTAGGCTACCCCACCGCCTCTTGAGTGAGAGAGTTCTTTTTCCAGCACCATTAAAACAATATTTCATACTTTCTACCCATCTAAGTAAACGAACCCAGACAATTACGGTTGCTGGTGAACGGTTACCCCACAGTGCTACCACATCTGAAAAAAAGCAAACAAAAAAATACTTCGTATCAAAACAAGCTGTAAGCTGTAAAACAGAATAATAATATTCTTCAAACAAATATTCATCCTCCCCAACCTTCCCAAAACATAAGCCAATATCGTTTTATTATACCAATGTCAAGTTTCACGTGGAAGAGTTGTGCACTTTAGCCGAGCCAGGATGCGCTACTCAGGTAGAAGCATCGTCCCGATAGTTATCCTTGGTCAAGCAACATCGGGACTGTTCAGGCGAATCTTTCATCACAGCTAGACCCCAGCAGACTCACTAAGTATTGTTGTATTGTAGGAATGTTCAGCGTGATGATCATATTCCTCCTGACAATGTTCAAGGCCGGCTCGGTGCTGGAAGTCTTGGATTGGATATTCACGGTCCTGTTACCACACCATGCTTTCGGCATGACCTTCTTTGAAATGTACATCAACTATAACAACCACGCCTTCTGCACCGAACAGAACTACATACAGGAGTGTGCTCGAGGAACAGTCATGTCTTGCTGCCAAGGTAGGTTCAATTTAGTCTAGATTATCTGTCAAAAATATTTCTATTCTGAAAAAAAAGCGAAAAGTAATAGTGTCAGTATGCTCATGCCATGCACCGGTGACCTGTGAACCATCGAGTGTGGATCTGACAATGCCTTATGCGAGCAGGATCCGGTAATCCCGTAATACTATAGCGTTTACTGATTGTTTAAAGACTGAAACCGATATGATAGTTATAAATTACTGCCGAACCGTATATATTTTCTGACATTCTGCTTCTTGCAAGCAAAGAGATATATCTAAAATATAGCTTCATTGTGATACTTCACCGGAGGGACGTCAAATGAATGTATGTGTGTGCGCGTGCTTGCGTGTGTGTGTGTGTGTGTGAGAGAGAGAGAGAGAGAGAGAGAGAGAGAGAGAGAGAGAGAGAGAGAGAGAGAGAGAGAGTGCGTGTATGCATTTTATCAAGGTTAATTCAAATAGAAAGTAAGCGTTGTAAAACATTGCCATCCCTGATACACTTTTAACGATTTACGTCATGCCAAAAGTATATATATTGCTACTATTATTTCATCTTTTGCTCAGTTCTGTCAATGTAATATATTCAAGAGACATAAAATCCTTTCCACGGTCATAAGAAATGCCCCGTGTCAGATTCAGGATATATCATTATGAATGCTATAAAATAGTGACCATACCATGGTGAGCATATCCTGCCCAGAGATGGCACCGGTTACAAACACATGCAGTGGCAAGTCATTTGTTCACCTGACAAAAAATGAACACATGGCACAAGTCAAAATGGCATCGGACATTATTTACGTCATTTATTCGTTACATGTGGCAATATGCTCCATGTTTACAGCTCAAACATTTGGAAATTATTTCTGGGGCCATGAACATTGCAACAATGATCAAACATGATTTTAACAAGACTCCTCGATGAGAGTTCGGTGCGAGTTTTCTTCGCTGTCGGTTGGTAATCCGATGCTCAGGCTTGCTGGTCAAATGCATATGTTTACATTTCCATTTATTGTATTGTGTAACAAGATACTGGTCAGAGTCATGACATAGCGATATTTCTAATGCAATGACCATATCAGATTTCTGTCACTGCAGTGAAAATATCACTTTTCTCATTTGGGAATGAAATTCTGTCACGCCTAAGTATGAGAATATAATATACGGTAATCTCAATGCTGAGGTTCCAGTAGTGACATATAGAGTGAGATTGAAACGATCTGTGCCATGAACAGTGTATGTGCAGGGGTTCAAAAATCCCATCGCCCGACGCCCGGGACAAGTCAGTTTTCATTTCGGGCAATCAAATAATGGTATCTTACTTGTCCGTGGGCTACTAGATAATTTCCACTTATGGTTTCAAACTGCAAATAAACTTTGATTTAATTTCATATCTGCTCAAAACGTAGCTATTAAATTTCGCAATGATAATAAAGTAGAGTTATCTTCCTTTGCTATTTATCACTTTCCAATAAATAGTCCAGTAAACATTAACATCAAATACGATGTTGATTTCTTCTTTCATAATTACATCATCATAATTATGTCATAAAATCAGGGCAAGTGGATAATTAGTCAGAACAAGTTACTTTCTTAAAGTCACTTGCCTTTTGGCAAGTGGCTTTTTAAAAAAAAATTGAACCCCTGGTGTGATAAATATAAAACTAGTGCATTTGGACCATATGTCTTACAGTAGAAGATGTCATGGTTGGAGACCCGTGAAGATCCGAATTAAAATTGGTCTTCAGCAACACATACGTGTCGTAAGAGGCCACTAACGGGATTGGGTGACCATGCTCGCTGACTTGGTTGACACACGTCATCGTATCCCAATTGCGTAGATTGATGCTCATGCTGTTGATCACTGGATTGTCTGGTACAGACTCGATAATTTACATACCACCACCATATAGCTTGAGTCCTGCGTTAAACAATAAACAACAAACCGATGCCATGGTAGGAGAGAAACAGTGTTTTTCAACAGTGTTTCTCTCCTACAGAGATATATTCCTGTTCAATACATAAGTTAGTGAATGAGCGAGTGTAGTTTCACGCCGCCATTAGCAATATTCCATCAATGTCACAGCAGGGGACACCAGAAATGGGCTACACTCACTGTACCCATGTGGAGAATCGAACCCGGGTTTTCTGCGTGACGAGCGAACGCTTTAACTACTAGGCTATCCCACCTCCCCACAATACAAATAATGACGTTCTATATACGTACTTCACGTGTCACAGTCAGCCATCAGTGAACATAACAATCACATGTTTTTGTGTCATGTGTGCATTACAGTTTGACCTCATACAAGCACCTGACCATTACTCTCCAATTGCACAACTGCCTTGAGTAACTGCCGGGTTGCTTCAGTCAACACAGAGCAAGCCGTGGGTTCAGAACCCCACGACACTATCAATACAGATAAGACAGTCGCGTCGATGTGACCTTACTGACCTACTTATCAAGACCGCAAACCGCCGTCGATAAAGTCAATTACACATTCTCGCGAAATCTCCCAAGACAGATAATTGACTGAGTAAACACTGGGTTTACACATACCTGCGTACAAAGATATCAGCCTCTCATGACAGGGTGCGGCCCATTCACATTGCCAAACAGGTCATGACTGAATCACACTATACTTTATCCCACAGCTGGCTGGTCTATACTGATGATACATATGTTTGCTTAGAATACCTTATGTTCGGTTTTGGACTCAGTGTTTTAAGTAATTGTATATTAAAATACTGAAGATAATTCTGATCCAGATGCAAACTGAATAATAATAGAAATATTGAAAACGTTAGATATTTAATGGATGAGCTAAAAGCGGAATGTTTCAATATGTCCGTATTATCATAACAAAAAAATACATTGGACCTACTTGCCACCATAGCTTCGTTCTGAGCCCAATTGAGTGAGTTATAATTCCTTTTTACCTGCTTTAATACTCCTCTCTTTAGAATGTAAGGAAAGTCTGTGTATAAACACACGGGTGTGGTGTTGGCGGTCACGAAGCGTAATAAGGGCACGACCATCAGTTTCAAGCGTATCCATGGAAACAGCTCTGTACAGCGAAATATGTACCGTTAGACGTCCAGGCCATCCATCTTCCCGAGCACGAATCGAATAGCATGATGTAGAAAACAGCTCTCCAATCAAAGTAATCTCACAAACGAGAGACAAATCATCGCTAAATTTTTGAAAGTAGAATGGATTGGTAATGTAATCACTTGGGTGATTAATGAGTCCAAAACATTTGTCATAATGTATTTGTTTATTAGTTGTTTAACGCCGCACTCAGGAATATTCTAGGTATATGGCGGCGGTTTGTAAAGAGACCAAATAATCTAGTGATCAACAGCATGGGCGTCGATCTACGCAACTGGGATACGGTGATATGTGTTAACGAAGTCAGCGAGCCTGACCACCCGATCCAATTAGTCGCCTTTTACAACCAGTATTGGTTGCTGAAGACAAAACTCTAATCCTGATCTTTACGGGTTTTGTCATAACATAGCATAATGATAATACTGAATAATCGTCATGATATAGAACATTCTACAGCAATGACGTTTCATATGTGCTTATGATTTATTACTCGTTGAGGTTTGAAATTCAGATACCTTTCTTGTTTTTACTTTCAGATACCTGCGGTAACGACTGTCTAGTGTTTTCAGACGATTTTCTCCAGTGGGAATTGCCAGGAATTGGACGTTTCATCTTAATGCTTGTCCTACATGGATTCTTTTACATGTCAGTCATTTTAATGATTGAATACCAAATTCCCCAGAAGATTGCATATTGCAGTGGGGGTCACGATATGGAGGACGGAGAACGGTTCCTCGATGGTTCAGTTCCGGAAGACGATGACGTGTCTGCAGAGCGCAGACGCATCGATGTCACAGACCCAGCTTCCGGTTCCTCTGATGCTATTGTCCTGAAGAACTTGTACAAGAGATTTGGGGACGTTGTGGCAGTGGATCATCTGAACATAGGCATTGCGGAGAAGGAGTGTTTTGGTCTCCTGGGTCAAAATGGTGCTGGGAAGACGACGACGTTCAGGATGATGACGGGAGAAGTGATGGTCACTGGTGGAAATGCTTATTTGTGGAAGCATGACATCAGGAATCAGTCTAAGAAGGTACATATTCAATATCGTCAACTCAAAAAACCTGTTGGTATCACCCTCTATTCGTGGTCATTCAGGGCCTACAAGAAGGGCATTTTATCCACTATCGCTTATTCTCCTAATAAGGGCAACGCTAAATGTAGGGTTGCGACAAGGGATTTCAACCGTGGTTGTTACTCTACCATTGTAAGCATTATGGTTTAACAAGGTTAGATGCGTGAAAGTTATTCAGAGCCGCAGTTTCACGACTCTTTTGGCCATGTTATAGCCACCTTACGGGACTATAAGCATTGGCTTGCTACATTATCCCCATTGTCGGCTTGAGAGTCAGCGGCGCTTCAACTACAAGACTACCGTTCCAAACCTTAACCGCTCCAGATATTTCACAGGATGGTTTTTACGACTTCCTCGACTGGGTCCACATTGTGCTCATCCCAAGGTAACCTGCAAACAACTTTGAATTATTGAATTCATTATCTTCACCACAGGTGCAGGAGAACATGGGCTACTGTCCCCAGTTTGACGCCCTGATTGACCAGATGACCGGTCGAGAGACTCTCGCCATGTACGCCCGGCTACGTGGTGTTCCAGAAAGGAGCATCGCCGACGTTTGCACCAAGCTGCTGGACATCATGATGCTGCACAACTACGCCGACATCCCAACACAGGAATACAGGTATGTGAACAAGCGCGTCCATTTGCTCCCTGGTACTGGATAATGACAGGTACATTATTACATGAACCGGAATATTCAAGGTCCATGTGTCTTGTAGAACGTGAGGTTTGGAGGGTGGTCTGTAGGTAGTGATTTCGGTTAAAACAGAAATCAGTTAGACAAATTAAATAGTGTTTTCATTGGTGTAGTCTCTTCCTTGTTGTTGGGGAGTATCCAGAAACCTAGCCCAATCTTGGTTATATCCCACTTCGTCCCACAGCGCTGAAAGTATGACGACAGTGAAGGTAATGTTAATTCGGGTTAGAATTAATCTTCAGTAATCCATGCGTTAGAGGCGACTAACGGGATCGGGTGGTCAGACTCGCTGACTTGTTGACGAACGTCATCGGTTCCCAATTGCATAGATCAATGCTCATGCTGTTGATCACTGGATTGTCTGTTCCAGCCTCGATTATTTACAGACCGCCGTCATATGGCTTGAATACTGCTGAGTACGGAGTTAAACAGGTTAAACAACAAACAAACAAAAGCTACAATACAAGACCTTGAAAGTATGTTCATGTGTGATACCAACCCCCACCGAAAACACTGACTCTGATATTTGCCACAGTCCAATTTGATATAATATTGATAAATTCAGGTAATTTGATAACAAATCAATGTTAGAATGTTTGCCATGCGGATGTCTCGAGTGCAAGCAGGATCGATATGTATATCCTATATCTGAAACGCGTGGTACGATAATAAATCACCTCTGCACTGCATCATTTGGTGTTCCTTGATTAAAGACAGATTAATGTTAATCCTTTATTGACCTCTTTATGGTCCCCATCTCTTCGGGTCATACCTGTGAGTTCAGTGATTTAGGAAACATCACTTCCGATATGCGGTCGGAGCCGCTGTGCAGAGTTCTTTGCCTTGGTTGTATCAGGATACAATGGGTAGTTTCTAATTCTCGATTCATGATGATTGGTTTGTCAGCATAATAACCCGTGCTGTATGGTTTTACTACTGTGGTAAAAGTCTATTATCTGCATCACTGTATACGTCACTGTATACGTGACCGCCTCCGTGGTGTAGTGGTTAGAGCGTCCGCCCGGACAGCGGAAGGTCGCGGGTTCGATCCCCGACCGCGTCATACCAAAAAGACGTTAAAATGTGGTACTTGTTGGTCCCTGCCTGTCGCTCGGCATTAATGGGTACAACAAGGACTGGTCGGCTCGGAGTCAGTATACTGTGTCTGAGTGGGGTATTCATGCTTCACTGCAGCATGGTATCTCAGGGGGCTAGCACTATAAAACCAGCTTCAGTCTGGGCTAGTACAAGCAGCCGCACATACACATACACACGCATGCACGTCGTCATATGAGCGAAATATTCTCAAGCACGACGTAAAACCCAATTTCACCTCACTGTGTACGTGTTATCTGTGCAGTGATTTATCATTTTATTATTTCCTTTAAGTACCGTGAACATCTGGGTTAGAATTGGTCTTCAGTAACCCATGCTGTTCGTAAGTGGCGACTGACGGGATCTCGTGGTCAAGCTCGCTGACTTCGTTGACTGGTGTCGTTGTATCCCAACAGCGTAGTTCGATGTCCATGCTGTTGTTCACTGGATTGTCTGGTCGAGTTTCTATTACTGACAGACAGCCACCATATAGCTGGGATATTGCGGCGTTAAACAAACAAACAAACAAGCCATTTCTTTTACCAAATCCGGCAGCAGCTCTTGGATGTCGAAGATGTTCAAGGATCGGATGTAGGATTGTACGGGTGTACCTTCAAGTATCGTCACCCTTCAGATTCCTTTGTACACTGACCATGTCCAGCTTGTAGTCATGGACAAACACTCCACATCATAACCGACCCTCTATAGAGGGGACTGTGAGACGAATGTACCGTGTGGAGTTTCCCTGGCACCAGGACCGAATACACACGTCAGTGACGCAACAAGAGTGAGTGAGCGAGTATGGTCTCAGCCCGATCTGTCGACAAATGAAAAATAGGATGTTCCTAACCGTCAACAAAACAAAAAACCCGGAGTGTCGACATCGCATGGTCAACATACCGTGACAGTGTTAATTAGTGAAGGAGAATGTTTGCTTAGTGGTTTGCAAGTGGCTATGGCGGCTACAGCTATGCTCGTATCATGAGTAAATGAATTAAGTTGATTAAAGAGAATGTCTTTTTAACAATTTGCAAGAGAATTAAGGTTGCAAAAACAGACTATTATTTTACGTTATGCGAGTGGAAGGATTACCATTTTGGAGTTTAACATGCAACAACATCCGGAAAGAAACAGAGAGCTTACAAATTATTTTGTGATATTGGGAGTAGAAGGATTATCGAAAGGCTGTTGTAAACATTTAGCATTTGGGCATATATTATAGATCATGAATATTTTGTTACAACTGTCAGAGCCGTTTTTAGCAATATTCTAGCAATATCACTGCGGGGAACACTAGAAATGCACTTCTCATTTTGTACCCATGTGGGGAATCGAACCCGGGTCTTCGGCGTGACGGGCGAACGCTTTAACTACTAGGCTACCCCCACCTGCCGTACACGCAGTAAGAACTTGCTGTCATCCTCCCAGTGGATATTTCTCCATGTCCATAGGTTTCAATCTCTGAATGCACAACTCCATGTCAAACTGTTCATGCAACGGCGATCGCATGGAAAGATTGATCACCCTCATTGATTTGCCTGAGGTTGAGACGATTGATGACAACTGGTATGTCGCGTCCATCATGTCCTGGTGGCAAAGGTCATCCACTGACCAGGAGGATCTTCGATCGTCTCGTGCTGATTGCACACGTAGCTGCTCAGACGCCATTACCGTTTCGTATTTAGACGCAACACCAGACCATCCTGTCACTACCTAACAAGTTTTGACACATTATATTCGCGGCTGCTGGACAGTGCATAACATTTTTTACGGTCGTTTTAGTTGTCTATGGATGTATACTTCGCCCTGTATTAGTACAGAATTAGTGTTGAAGAAGTAGCGACAACATAGTATTGGTTAGTGTATATACTTTAAATATAGCCATAAAAACCAAAAAATGTTTCTCGTCACTTGCGAAATATTATGTTAAAGGCCGTCATGTTTTTTCGTTTAATACCAAAAACCCATTCAAACTCCCCAGTAACGGTTGTGTCATCGTGAGTGGCACCTTGTGTTAGGGGATTGAGGGATGGTGGGCAAGTGTTATCTTGACACTTTCTGACATGCGCATTGTGCGTTTGTTTTCAAGATATGTATCTAAATATTTCGCGAAAATCACCGATATAATAATTTAGTACAGAAAACTTAAAGTAATGCGTAGATATTCAGATGGTCGGTTTTGTCTTTCGTTGGTCCAATCTCGCCAAAACTTCTAAATTTATCATGGGGGAATAAAACATTCAAACTGCGTTTTGAATTATCCAAATGAATAAAAACAGCTTGTTCATTGTCTAATTTGTATTTAATACACATTATGATGCTTAATATTACCGAATTAATTTCCTGTTTTGGACAATTCGTTAAAAAAGTTATACTTGTGTGTATTGGTTAACCCCGATTATTGTACATGAAAGTGCTATCAACGGAAAATATTTCGTGATCTGAATAGTGGTTGCCATATGAACGTGAGGAAATGAAAAGTGGGAATATAATAATTATGAAATTAACATTTGTGAAACGTGAAAACGCTGCAATATCGAAGGTAGTGTAAAAGGCATCCAAACCACGCCTCCTGGTTGTACTATTGTGACTTTACAATACTCTCGCACCCAAAATTAATTGGGGACATTGTGGTGTTCTAAATATTTCTAAATCTGACAAATATGGTTACGTTAGATGTCCTAAAGTACAGTGTGACAGTAGCGTCAGATGTTGGTGAGCGTTAATTGTATCAAGCTCTAAATTAATAACATTTAAGAAGAGGCATGGGTTTTTTCATAACGAATGTAGAGTCTACTTATGGTGATGTATAAATATGACTTGAGTGTTGTGACTCGGCAGAGCTATCTTCTTAACGTGTCACGATCAAAACCCGGGTTCGATTCCCCACAGGGGTACAATGTGTGAAGCCAATTGCTGGTGTCCCCCGCCGTGATATTGTATTGCTGGAATATTGCTGAAAACGGCGTAAAACTAAACTCAATCACTCACTAAAAGAGTCAGATGAAAACGCAAAGCACCTAAACACTTCATTCTGTATAACCGTCAGACTTCGTTAAAAGTCAAATTCATTTTACACGGACTAGTGAATTGAGTATTATGTTAATTCAAATTGCTTCAAATCTTGTAAACAAAACAGATATTAGCGACGGTATCCTTGTTTTGGGATGTGTAGCAGCAGTAACATGTTTGGAAATAACAGATCTGGCCAGCATCTGATGTATATTTGATTACGGTTAGGCCGTTCGTTGCGGTTGCTTGTGGACGAGGAGGGGATAATGTTTAAACACATCACTTTATTTACAGTTAGCTCCATGGTTACCTACTACACACATAGACACAGGGATACACACATTCTCACAGAGATGAACCCACACATTCGCCCTGACCACACACTCACATAGTTGATAACAATGATAAGCCCAACAGTATAGTGCTGAACTTGACGCCGCACGGCCATGCTCTGTGCTCTTACAACATGATAGACATTACTACCCCGGATAACCCTAGCTGCTTTTGAGGCGCTCGATGGTTAATGTTCATGGCTTATCCCACCGGTTACCCATTAACTGCTGGGTGAACAGAGGCAATTGTAGACAAACTCACTTGCCTAAGGTGAGTCTCTCAGGAGCTAAGCTGCCAAACACGGTCACCCATCCTAAGGTCTCTCTGTGAGCGACGTTAACTTCAAACTGATTTGCACCCTGGGCTCTATGCACAGGGCCACACACCAAACTGATTCCTATCCTGGACTCTATGCACAGGGCCACACACCACATCACGTTCTCTGACTCACACTGACGCAAAACACACTCACTTCCACAACACTCCCTCACTCACTCACTCACTCACTGGCAAAAACACACAAACACAACACATATGAAATGAAACCGCTCCCACAGAAGGTTGTGAAATTTCATTACGAGTGTGTACGTCATGCATACCTGTCTCACTAATACCTGTCACAGTTTTGTTGATCTTAGATTGTCAAGTTACGTACGCGGGTCGGTGTGTCTCCGCGTGGGCGTCACCCCATACTGGGTAAAACTGAACATAAATATATTCGAATATTTTAAAGGTGATCCGTTGTACTAGAATCAAACGTACATCACCTCTACATCTTACTCAGTTGGTGAATTTCAAAACCGCACCCTCCTATGTCGGAATCTTACGCCCGAACATGTATATTGGTCTATGTACACTCGGTCAACAATTACCTCAGAGTTTCTACGGCACCCCAGTGTTACCCCGGCAACCTGGCCTGTTGCAGCAGGGAGAGCCAGTATGACAGTCATAATGTCAAGACAGTATGTGTTGATAATTTGCAATCCGTCAGTTGATGGAGTAAATACTCGGGACTCAGGTCGATAATGTTATGAACATAACACTCCACATCGTCAGGATATCCACCGACAAATCCATGAGATATATCCAAATGCAGTTCATTGATTTTTCCTCTCAGTATTTCCATGGTAACAAACTGTCATTACTGACAACTTTACTTTTGGCTAAACTAAAACAGACTTATTTTGCAAGTTGTTATCCAGTACATATATCTTATTATCTTCTATCTTAATAATCATATTTCGTACTCATTGCCTGTAGCAGAAAAAACTATAGATATATTTGTATGTTAGTAAATATGTGACAGTATGTTACTGAGTGAGTGAGTGAGTTTAGTTTTACGCCGCACTCAGCAATATTCCAGCTATATGGCGGCGGTCTGTAAATAATCGAGTCTGGACCAGACAATCCGGTGATCAACAGCATGAGCATCGATCTGCGCAATTGGGAACCGATGACATGTGTCAACCAAGTCAACGAGCCTGACCACCCGATCCCGTTAGTCGCCTCTTACGACAAGCATAGTCGCTTTTATGGCAAGCACATGGGTTGCTGAAGATCTATTCTACCCCGGCATCTTCACGGGTCAGTATGTTACTACATATATCAATATGTTAGTAAATATATCAGTAGATACATGTTAGTACATATATCAAGATGTTAGTAAATATATCAGTATATATGTTAGTACATATATCAAGATGTTAGTAAATATATCAGTATATATGTTAGTACATATATCAAGATGTGAGTAAATATATCAGTATGTTAGTAAATATATCGGTTAGTAAATATATCAGTAAGTTAGTACATCAGAAATGGCGGTGCAGTAAACATATTCATAAGTATACTGAAAATTCTAGAAACGAAACACAAACAAAACATTATCTCTGCTTATGTCTGTGTAGCGTGGAAAAGATAAGAAATACGTTTAATCGCATCTCACACGACTAATTTCCATGAATGTTATGAATGATATGTGTGTCTGGTCTCTATATGTGAGTATATTTCCGTGTATTTATGTGTCTACCTCATACAACAAAGATTACAAAATACATCCTCCATGGTCTTCTACTTTGTACATATCAATTGATTACAACTGTCAGAAATGTAACATCTATATGTCAGGGCCAATGGTCGTTTGTAATTGTCTTGTAATGTCTTTCCTGGAGCAGTTCTGAACAGAAGGAGAAGATATCTTATAATTAGGATAAGAATACCATACCTTTAGTTTTGAAACAGAGATTTTATTTGTATCAGCTGATCTTAGCTACATAGCAACATACCTGTATTAACATGTCATGAGATTTAGAGATTCAAAATACAGGTATAATCGAAAAGGTGTAATCACGTTTTTAACTGTCTTATATGCATGCGTAAATCTCTCCAGTTGGAACTTGTTATCTTTTGAACTATAAATGCTACCTTCCTGGTAGCTGTCTTTGAAAAGGACATTGTCTGGTGTATCTATCCTATATCACTAATATCATATAATGAGTAAAATGCAAATACGTTGGTCATGTTTATGAGTATAAAAGGTATGGTATTTGTGAGACTACATAATCGGTTCAGTTTTGAAAATGTTGAAAAATAACGCGAATTAGGTCAGTATGTCAAGAACGGGAACAACAGTGTGTTCAGAGGTAAACAATGGATTACTCCGAACAATGAATTTAAACAGGGTGCACACCAGTTTTTACTTTTGCGCCTTCATAAACCTTTCATCTTTCCAGTGGTGGCAACAAGCGTAAGCTGAGCACCGCCATCGCTCTGGTGGGAGACCCGGCCTTCATCATGCTGGATGAGCCGTCCACGGGGATGGACCCCAAGGCCAGGAGGCAGCTCTGGAACGTCTTGTCACAGGTCCGGGAGTGCGGCAGGACACTCGTGCTTACGTCTCACAGGTACGACTTGTTGTTTTTAAAGATATAGTTGATCAAACATGCAATCAATATTTAGTTTCACTTTTGTTTGGAACCGTAAAGATTAGAAACCGTTTGACTTGGTCTTCAGCAACCAATGCTTGTCGTTAGAGGAAACAGGATTGATGGACAGACTCGCCGACTTGGTTGATACATACCATCATATCTCAATTGCGTAGTTCGATGTTCATGCTGTTGATCACGGGATTGTCTGGCCCGCACTTGATTATATACACGCCGCCGTCATATTGCTGATTATTGATGGGTGCGGCGTTAAACGCCAAACAAACAAAACAAACACAATTGTTTGCGAGTTACTTGTAGTGAGTGAGTATGGTTTTACGCCGCTTTTAGCAATATTCCAGAAATATCACGGCGGGGGACAGAAATGGGCTTTACACATTGTACCCATGTGCGTGACGAGCGAACGCTTTATACACTAGGTCCCCAATTTACGTATAAACTTAGATCAGATTCATTCATTTCCTGGTACTTCCTTTCCTGGGCCTAGATTTTCGAAGCTCTCTTAGCGCTAAGATAGTTGTAAGTGCTATACATTAACATTAACTTACGACTATCTTAGCGCTAAGAGAGCTTCGAAAATCTAGGCCCTGGACTGTTATATACCTGTAAAGACGTATCAGAGAAGACTGTGTGACACTGATGATTTCGACTTTCAGCATGGAGGAATGTGACGCCCTGTGCACCAAGATCGCCATCATGGTCAACGGAAGGTTTGTCTGTCTCGGAACACCTCAGCATCTAAAGAACAAGTTTGGTCAGGGATACACCCTTATAGCAAGAATGGCAATGCTTGCCGACGGTCAAAACACCGCTCCAACCCAACCCCTAGTAGACTTCATCACGTCCCACTACCCCCACACCCAGGTGTTTGACGACCACCAGGGCTACGCCCACTTCCAGGTACCCGACACCTCCGTGAGTCTGGCCCAGGTGTTCACATCCATGGAGCAGGCCAAGGGGCAGTTTTGTGTGGAGGACTATTCCGTCCACCAAACAACTCTGGAGCAAGTGTTCCTTTCATTTACACGGCAACAGGTTCCGCCAAGAGAGGAACCACCCAAAGGATTCTGTAGAACAATTTGTTGCTGCTGTTGCAATTGCTGTTTTAGTTGTTGCTGAAGACTGTGTCGCAGGTTCATTTTCACAGCTTGGATTACAGTTCCTGTTATGAAGACGTCAACGAACCTATGTGAAATAGGTTTCCTGTTCGTATGCAGTGAACAATTTTTGACAGCATGTTGTTGTTAATTATATATTGTGTGAAACAAGCGCTACAAACACCCTGTGGTATCTGGGTGTCGCTGAAGCACGAACTTGCAGTGCCTTTATCAGATGGATTGAACAGTATTCCCGTCACACCAAAACGTGATAGCGGACAGCCCAAAGTGACAAAGGTTGGACAGCGAACAGACTAACACTTAGCCTCTTAAAAATATATAGTTTTATTACGATGAAATAGCTGCAATTGAAACTATAAATAAGGCCCTATACATGAACCAGTCGGGACCTGAAGGAAAGTCTAGACTTGTTTCATTTAGACTTTTGGGTCTGGGTAGAAGGAAACGTAACATACTCGGGGACTAGCACGCAGACTAAGAAGTGTGTCAAAGATGGAAAAGATAAGAAATACGTTTAATCGCATCTCACAGGAATAATTTCCATGAATGTTATGAATGATATGTGTGTCTTGGCTCTATATATGAGTATATTTCCGTGCATGTATGCGTCTACCTCATACAACAAAGATTACACAATAAATCCTCCATGTTCTTCTAGTTTGTACATGTCAATTGATTACAACTGTAGAAACTATAAATATAGGCCCTATACATGAACCAGTCGGGACCTGAAGGAAAGTCTAGACTTGTTTCATTTAGACTTTTGGGTCTGGGTAGAAGGGAAAGTAACATACTCGGGGACTAGCACGCAGACTAAGAAGTGTGTCATAGCGGACAAGGTCAAGGTGACCTTCACTGCATTCCGAAGCGTTGTTGTCCTTATCTTCCTTATGTCTCGCATGACTGGTCACCAGCACTCGACCTCCACTGCTGTGGTTGTACAATGAGCCCTGTCGACAGCGATCGTGAGAACACGAACATTTGCATTCATATCTGTGACGATAATAGGCAAGGTTATGTCATGTTTAGTACGTTGCTTTATAAACCCGTATTGCTGTTAAACAATATGTGAAGTCTATCTTTGTTAAATTACAACTTTGTATGTATATAGATATATCGTTGTTGACAGGCGGTAAAGCACGGCATTGAAAAAGGGCAGCGTGTGATTCCAGATTTACCCAGGAGATTATCAGACAGTGTAATAGAGCGGTGTCGGGTATTGCCGAACAGGCGGCTATTACCGAACCAAATTCCACTTCCGTATGTTTTGTCAACTTGCTGGTCGTGACAGTTTTTTCTATGCGTATGGCATCAGAGCTTCCAGAGTATCTTCCAGCAAAACTGTTGTTTAACTTAGAAAATACAATCCGAAACAAGAAAACGCATAAGACAAACATGGATGGTGGTGGTGGGGGCGCCACTGACTTATATTGTAATATTTCACAAAACACTGAGGAAGTACAAATCATGTTTGCTGCTTTTCATGCAGAACTTTAATAGCGCTCGATTATCAGGGTTATCCTGAGCACTCTGAAAATGTTCATTCAAATAACTGTTGTAACAAATGTTACCTTCTTGTCGTATTTTGAATTTTGGGTTCATGTTTTATTTTTTATACATCCTTGTTAGAATTTCAGTATATAGACGTCAATTCGCTCTTTAGAATGACCTCCAGCACTTACCGACACATTACCCCGACAAATCTTGCAATACTGGCCATCGATCAAGTAATTCTTTCTTCTTTCCCGTTACTATATTTGCATTAAAGAGTTTATTAACTTTCTGTACACGTTTGCAAACGACAATCCGTCGAAGCAGTGACTCTTCGGCCACAACCCAATATCTACGGCACACCAGTTTTTCGGAATAGCCCGACATGACAGCCCGTGATAGGTGTTCGGAAGAGTTGACAAGAGTGACAAAAATTGAAAACTTGACTTTTTGTAATATCTTTTTGCAGCGGGATTGGTAGACAAGACCTATTTGCCTTTCAGCGTTAATATGGTTCCCACTGAACGATTCTTTGTTAGTATTCCCTATTGTTTCATATGTAAAAATACAACAGGAATTATACCATATATGGATTTAGTTGTTCGTCAATACCCACACCGCTCTCTCTATGTAACTACCTTCATAGAAATATTTTATATATATGTTTTCATAAACAACATGGTTGAATACTGCGGTAATCTGCCATCAACTGTATTGCTATTTTGGTGCTTTTAGCCACTCATCAGTAATCCATATATCAATTATGATAGGTGAGTTATTTATATTTACCACGCTTTTAGCAGTATTCCATTTGGGGACACTAAAACGGTCTGTCACATAATAAGTTAGTGGTGTTAATTTTAATTTATTTTCAAATCTGCTTTGTTTCATCCATATTTTGACTAGAATATTATTGTTTACATATGTGATAAAATTTTAAAGTACTGTTAAAGAAGAATGGTAAGACGATACGCTATCACAGATAATCTTGAGCTTGACACAAACACCTGTTCAAATAGGCAGTCACGCTAAAACTCCAATGCAAACACGTTGGCACAATACGGTGAGTGAGTGAGTTTAGTTTTATGCCGCTTTAAGCAATATCACGGCGGGGAACTCCAGAAATAAGCTTCACACGTTGTACCCATTTGGGTCTTCGGCGAATCGAACCCGGGTCTTCGGCGTGACGAGCGAACGCTTTACCCATTAGGCTACCCCACCGATCCTGAGCACGTACAAATACAAAGGGGACTCTGAAATGGACTACAACTAGTGATATTAACCTTTACAGTAGGTCAACCAATGCACAAAATCAAAACCGGAGGTACTCAACAATTTGTTACGAACGTAGTTCAGAATGGACATAACATTTTTCTTCTGCATATATTTGGGGAAGTTTTGAAATTTTCCCTGAACAGTGATACTGTGTAATGGTTGACTTTACAAAAACCTTCGATACTGTGTGGTGAGCTAGCCTGCGCCACAAAATGATGTACATGTAGTGCGTGATATCTTCTCATTAAGGTTGTCTTCCAAAACCCCTCATTATGCCATCCCCATATTTGTGCATGTTTCACATCTCCAGAACCCAATCTACATGACAGAGAGCGGGTTGAATATATATATATATAAATAAAGTAAAACTTTTCAACTAATTGTATGACATATTTTAAGAAATGTTGAATTTTAGATCACTTGGTAATATGATTTTCAATCGGATCGCTTTGCTTAGGAAACATCTTTTTTCAAATAAATAATTTGGATACATATGAATATAGGTAAAGATAGATCAATCCGATCTGTGAGTTTCATGAATGTACACGGGGAAAATATATATGTCACACCAGGGCATACATTTCCAATCGAGATAAGAATATGTTTAATTATTTCAATCGGAATGAAAATACATGGAAGGACGAGGAAATATGAAACACAGAAAACACACGAACAAACTAATCCACTCCTATCCGAAACTCAACACTGTTGATTGTACAAGCGCCGCTTTACCTTCACGCGTTGAATCACTGTCAGGTGATCGATATTGCGCAAGAAATATCTAAACTCGTGACACATGAACAAGAGCAAATAAAACATATTCACATTCTTTATTTATTAGTCTCCTACTACCACTCTACTCCGCACCGACGTAAATTGAATTTTAAAATATGTTATGATTTATTGCATTAAACATACACTGTCTGAACTTGGATGCTGAAGTGAATACATGTCACAGGTGGCGAGTTTGTATTCTGTGGATGAGAATGATGACGGTTATTGCCAGTGTTCATTTTTTACTTTGTGTACCTTGTTCTCAGATGAACTCAGTAAAAGTGACAAAACCCGTTTTCTCATGCAAAAGAACTCTATTCTATTCCGACTATCACAACGATGTTTTTGTGCATCGCATTCACATATTGATGATGTTTGCTAAAATGTTAGCTTATCCTGTACGGTCACAAACACATGCAAAGGAACGTCTATTGTCAAATCTATATTCATAAATCACACGTGATACAGATAAGGAACACACACACGCACACGCACACATGCAGCCCAGTAAACACATGCAAAAGGAAGTCTGTTGTCAATGCATACCCAAACAACACGTGATAGAGAGAAGGCACGCATCCACACGCGCGCACACACATATACACGTGCGCGCTCACAGCGGTCCAGCAAGTATGCATAGATTATAACAACATGAATTGATTCACAAAAGAAACTACCCACCCATTGCTTTGGGATTGTTTTCTAAATCACAACAATGCAGTCGTAAATATCTTTCGATTGTGACAAACACGTACAATATTGTGTACGTGTTGCTAAAACACCACATACATCGTACCAAATACAGCATGGTCAGTTCCACACGTTCCCAGGCAGACAATTCAGTCTATACTGACTGGTCCATGGCATGTCCCCGGGGACGGTGGGGTAGCCTAGTGGTTAAAGCGTTCGCTCGCCACGCCGAAGACCCGGGTTCGATTCCCCACATGGGTACAAAGTGTGAAGCCCATTTCTGGTGTCCCGCCGTGATATTGCTGATCGGCGTAAAACCAAACTCACTCACTCACCCATAGCATGCCCCGAAATGCTCGATAGACCCGGATGCCCACATCACCCAGTCGCCTCATCACCATTCCTGTTGATCCAAAGTATAGGTGTTTCTTTCCTGTTGAAGACACTAACATACATGCAGATTCTCCAGCATTCGGTTGTTGTTAGTGGTAGTTGAGGAACAAATATGATATGTGAAAGAATCATATATAGACTCTATGTGTGTATCTGTACGGAATATAGATATATGCATGTTTAATATGTGAAATATGTGTATATAATTGTGTATGTGTATATATGTGTCAATATATGTATATATACGCACACATATATACACACATATGTGTCTATATATATACACATATGTGTCTATACGTACACACATATATATAAGTATATATGTGAACATACATACATACACATATGTATACATACATACATACATATACGCACACACATACACACACGTATACATAACGTGTGTTTGTATGTATATATATGTGTGTATATACATAACTAACATATGTTTATATATGTGTGTATATACATAACTACACACACACATACATACACAAACACATACATACATACACACATTATCTATATGTAGGACTATATATATATCGTCATATATATATTGGAGATGCTATTTAAGCAATCCATTGATTTATCTATATACTATCACAGGTGTACACGGTTTACAAGGGTAGGGATACTTTGTATAAACGTATTATTTTTCAGTTGAAAGATTTTTTAATTAATATTGGTGACGATATTGATTTCTGAGGACCTTATAGTACAGTATGACATGATATGATATGGCGGTATGAGCACAATCAATTCAACCTGTGCAGCTGTTGCCTGGGATCACGTGAGTGTGACGTCACCACTAGTACACCCGAAGCAGGCAGAGATACCCCATTGTGAGTACCTACCTTTCCACACTGTAAACATATCCCACATCTCGTAACAGCCTGAACTAGCAGGAGCTTAAGTCTGATTTGACAGTCTTCATTTTGTTAAGGTAACATAATATTTGTCTACTAAGGCAAATTTAATGACATCGTAGATCCACTGTATATATGTCCAAAAATAGAAAGCCCTACACTTGTATAGCATCTCTTTGAACACGTTGTATTTTGAGTGATTGCACATTGAATGCATTTAACCTGCCTTTTTATGTCAGAGATTATAACAAAATTTTATTGTAATATTTGGTTCGTTCCTAGAATAAATTTTTAACATCGGGGGAACAATCACAGATTTAATTATTCACAAGCTGGTGTGTCCGAGTTGTGGTTTCGTGTTTGGTGTTAAATATTGATGACATGTACTTGTGACAATGACATCTCTATTTGGCAGCTGGCTTTGTTAAAGGGAAACGGAATGTATCTGTTAATAACCTGTACGCGTTACATCACGTTTCACGTGTCCGGTGTTCGCGACTTTACGGTTGGGATCCTCCATTCATCAGTAGGGGTGTCTGTTTCACTGGGAATGTGGTGCACGCGGTTACTTCGTTCCGCTTCATGTGATTATTTTGTTAGCCTCTCTCATTTGTTTATAGCCCTTTTGACACCAACAGTGTCATTTTACATTTCTTAGTCACTGACGTATAAACTATTTTTAAACCCAACGCATTGCCGATCAAGCAGTGCAGGTTCTATAATACACGTTATTGTAATGGATTTTGTTTTGTTCATTCATAGGAAACTGAATCATATCAAGGCATGAGTCTCGTGATATCCGCTTGAGGGCGCTGTACTCACTGACAGTCGGATCACCTCGGCCTTCTCACATTCAAGAGGGTGGTGTTTCGCAATCAGGACTGGTTCAGCTGCAGCGTGTTTTCCCAAAACAACAATCACGTCACAGATTGCTCAAGGGGAGAGAACCAATGACATCACTGCCCCGAAACCAGGTCACTTGGCTGCAGGTATACCAACCAAGTGTCACTGAAATACCGCGTTCTTATCATCTCGCGAGAATCACGTGACTCGGGAGTGTCGCGATTTTATCACCGCAACGGGGAGATTATTGAAATGTACTTTAACATCGTGTTCACGACCTCTGCATTCATATAGCGTTGTCTACCACAAAGAGGACCGGTGTAAGGCAGATCAAGTTCAACATGGTCTTCTTTCGGCAGCTCCGGCTGCTTATGTGGAAGAATTACCTTCTACAACGTAAAAAGATTTGTGTGACAGTCTTTGAAATTCTTTTACCTCTTCTGTTTGGAGTGATATTCTTCAGCATGAGATTTCTGGTAGCGACCTCACCTCAATCAGCGGAAGTGTATTACCCCAGAGAGGTGACAAGGCAACTGAACAATTATTATGGCTATGATGAGGTTCTGTTCACACCCAACAATACCCTCATCAATGGACTGATTACAGATATCAACGAAACCGTTAACAGCAAATCGCCAAGATTAAGTTATTATTCAAGTAAGTTCATTTTGTCTATTTACCAGAGATAACGGAGCTGTGAAATGCTGTAATGACCGACTGTAAACTGAGCAGGATGGTAGTGGTGATACGACTGTACGTATTTATCTCTCACCCGTGAGGATCCGGGTTAGAATTGATCTTCAGTAACCCATGCTTGTCGTAAGAGGCGACTAACGGGATCGGGTGGTCAGGCTCCCTGACTTGGTTGACAAATGTCATCTCGTCCCAATTACGTAGATCGATGTCGATTACTGGATTGTCTGGTCCAGACTCGATTATTTACACAGCACTGCCATAGAGCTGGAATATTGCTGAGTGCGGCGTTAAACAAACAAACAAACAAACACACATTGATCACTCTTTTACATGTGTACACAAAACACTGTCAAGTAAATCTAGAGCAACCTGTCACAACTTATTATCATCCCAAGGAGATATATTGACTTGGAGATAAAGGTATTGCTGTATCACCTCTACTGGTCAGGGAATCTAATAAATAAGCATGATTGTTGTATCATGCAAGACTGACTGACTGAGTTTAGTTTTACGCCGCTTTTAACAATATTCCAGCAATATCACGGCGGTGGACACCAGAAATGGGCTTAACACATTGTGCCCATGTGGGGAATCGAACCCGGGCCTTCGGCGTGACGAGCCAACGCTGTATCATGCAAGAACTGGACATGGGTCGATTAACGACCCTGTCGAAAAACCTGTTATCAAGATGATCTAGAGAACAGGAAGTTTAGGATTTCATACCCGGAACAAGTGCAAAGAGAAATTCATTATTTTTTTTGTCGACTAACTTGACTCATATTATGTAACGACAGTGTTAAAAATACCTTCCACCCAATTATCTTGAGTCCTCGCGCGGTTATCCTTTAGAAAAGACACACCAGGTGGTCGTTGTTGGTCTTGAAACTATTTGTAGTGTGTGAGTGAGTGAGTGAGTGAGTGTAGTTTTACGCCGCACTCAGCAATATTCCAGCTATATGGTGACCGTCTGTAAATAATCGAGTCTGGACAGGACAATCCAGGGTTCAACAGCATGAACATCGGTCTACGCAATTTGGATACGATGACATGTGTCAACCAAGCCAGCGAGCCTGACCACCCGATCCCGTTAGTCGCCACTTACGACGAGCATGGGTTACTGAAGGTCAATATTCTAACCCGGATCTTCATTTGGGAAGTATGACAAGGAGATTGGTGGAGATACCTTTTGTTGATATTCACCTTTCTGTGTATTCCCCTCAGAATGCAGGTACATTGTTACCGCATTTTCAATTTTAGTTTTGGTTTTGTTTCATCTTACTTGATTAATACTGAAGTGTATATAATAATGAGGGTGGGCTTGTTAAATGAATGAACCTTGTAAATGTCAACACATAATTTATGTATGTTTATTTTCATTTTAATTTGATGTAAATAACGAAAGCGTCCCGACTGTTGGCACTTATGGTACATATATTTTGAGCTGAATAATTCCCCAAAATGAAGTGCTTCACATGTGAGCGTGAAAGCGAATATCCTGTCCTGTTTGACTTAAAATGAGCTTCCCATCTGGTTCCTCCAATCGTGACTACCTAATTGTAGCACACACACCCACACCCACACCCACACCCAGACAGACGGACACACACACAGAGACAGCCCCCACACACACACACACACACCTATAGCACTTCCATTAAAAAGTTAAACCCCTTTCTGACAACCAACACAATGTCATTACAGTTTACTGCTTCATGAATCAGTATTGGGTAAATACATACCTATATTTACAGACACACTTACGTTGAAAGGATTTTCATCGAGGAAAGATATGCTGGACTACTTCAGATACAATTCTGATCAAGTCGGCTTTGCTGTTGAATTTGAAAACGTTGGACTGTCAGACACCGACATGCCCAAGAAACTGCGGTACGCCATTCGTCCAAAAGGTGACCGATATCAAGGTTGGCACACCACTGAAACGACTCCTTTTGTGGCTACTTCGGGTCCAAGATCCACGTACGATCCAGGTAACCGGTTTGTATTATTGCCTCTGAACTTCAGAATTTATCAGATATGAAAAAGGCAGATATGACACGGTGATAGAATATATACCAGAAAAGTAGAAACTATGCAGTGTTTAAATTCTAGATTTAAAAATATAACAATATGGAAAATTTTCACTGGAATGGATATCGTGATCATAAGAAATGGCAGAAAAGCATGTTTAATGTCCATGACATTTACGATTCGAGTTCAAATGTGCGACAGCAACAATGTCACTAACCTGATAGCGGGTATGCCCACCGTGAGTAGCGAGAACAGCAGTGCATCGAAGACACATAGTCTAGACATACACAGTTGCTAATGGATGGCTTGTCATATTCTCCGCAACACTGCTGCCAAAACTCGGACAATTTGGCTGATTTATTAGAGGGAGTAGGCGTCGCTGCATCAGCCAGAATAGGGGCGGTGGAGTAGCCTAGTGGTTGAAGCGTTCGCTCGTTCCGACAAATACCCGGGTTCGATTCCCCACATGGACACAATTGCTGGAATATTGCTTAAAGCTGCGATAAACTAAACTCACTCACTGATCTCATACATGCTCTATGGGGTTTTACAGGTGGGTGAGGTGAGGTGAGGTGAGGTGAGGTGAGGTGAGGTGAGGTGAAATTGGGTTTAACGTCGTGCTTAAAGGTCACATGCTACCAAAAAATCAAACATAATTAAAACACAATTATCACTTATTCATGACATATAATATACATTGCTGGTTACGAAAAAATATATAAACAAAATTATAAGCGTACAATCGCAAATCGAAAGTGCAAAATTGTGTACTTCGGTTTACTTCCCAAGAAACGAAGCAGCCGGGATACCGAACCCAGTCAGAGCGGGTGGGTGTGCACTCAAGTGTAACGGCTGGTTCATTTGCAGATGCCCTCACGGCTCATTGTGTATATATATAGAGAGATGTTGGGTTTTGTAAATACATGCTCATTTTTTTGTGTATAACATTTTGCAATCAACAGACATCATAACATGTCATGTGTTCAAGTATCACACCTGCCTGTCTGTGTAATTACATAATGTGACAGGGACCGAACTCGGGCCGTAAATCAATGCATTTTGTTTATGGTGTATAGCCTGATTGGTGTTAAGTTCAAATTGCATGTGGTCAGCGATAGCAGCTGTGTATTGAATATTGTCATTAGCAGACAGGCAGGCAGACACACAGGTTTCAATAAAACAAGACATTGAGTTTTGTCTGTGACAACGACATATCTATATCACAGTTAGAAATTCTGTCAACCCTAAATAATGACATTGCTTTTAAGTATCGAACTGAGAAAGTGTCTCGGTAAGAAGAACGTGTGGTGAAATAGACAAATGAAATTATATGCACAGTTAATTTACTGTCATAACATATAAAAAGCTCGCGCCTGTGAGATATCAACAAAACATTAGAAAAATAGCTCACACCAAAGCCTTCACCGAGTATTCACCCGACAACCCGCTTCCAAGCTGCGCGAATCTATTTTCTTGCGCACGTGCTATGAGCGCAGCCCAGCTGTTGAAACCCGTTTTCCCCCAGAAATGTCTGGGGAAAATTAGTGAAACGTTTGAACTCCGATTTCGCGCGTTTTTTTCATCGCGTTATTTTTCAACTTTATACGTTGAATTTGCATTTTTTGACGATTTGTTTCGGTATGTCCATACCGAAAGGTATCAGAATCTGCAAAGTTGTGTTTTACGTTGCATGTGACCTTTAAGAATATTTCGCTCATATGACGACGTGCTTGCGTGTGTATGTGTATGTGCATCTGCTTGTACTAGCCCAGGCTGAAGCTGGTTTTATAGTGCTAGCCCACTGAGATACCATGTCGCAGTGAAGCATGAATACCCCACTCAGACACATTATACTGACTCCGAGCCAACCAGTCCTTGTTGTACCCATTAATGCCGAGCGTCAGGCAGGGACCAACAAGTACCATATTTTAACGTCTTTCGCTATTGGGGATTAACAGGCAGAGCCAGTACTTAAGCATGGTGCTCGTGAAATCATAGCAGCACTAGGCGTATGAGGACGGGTATTATCCTGTTTGAATGTCAATCCTGGGCCATGACGTTAAAGAAACGATAATGCCACTGGTCCGAAAGTCTGATCTCTGTAGCCTACACCTGTCAGCAACTAAAGAGGTTCTCTGACGGCCACATATCATCACAGAATCAACCCTCATCATTATGGAATAGCCCCATTTCACAGGCTAAAGCATGGTGCTTCCAAAGACGTCTGCAGACACGTTGACGTCCGTCTCTAGGGGAAATGTTATAAAACTGGACAACCGCCTTCCATCACAACTGAGGTTGAGAAACATGATTTCGGCAATACCTCTGACAGTTTTGTCAATGTTGTTGCATCAGGATAGGTCATGGCGGTGCGACTTGGTCGTATCCCGTAATGATGTAAGCGGTTCCTGTCTGCGTTGGGGTGGACACGCCTGGAAGATCTGGGCAGTTGTTACTGCTGTCTGGAACTTGTACAGGAGATAGGTCATCCGTCTCCGTCCGTCCCGTGTTGGGGTGGACACGCCTGGAAGATCTGAGCAGTTGTTACTGCTGTCTGGAACTTGTACAGGAGATGGGTCACCCGTATCTACCTGTCCTGTGGTGGGGTGGACACGCCTGGAAGATCTGAGCAGTGGTTACTGCTGTCTGGAACCTGTACAGGAGATGGGTCACCCGTATCCACCTGTCCTGTGGTGGGGTGGACACGCCTGGAAGATCTGAGCAGTGGTTACTGCTGTTTGGAACCTGTACAGGAGATGGGTCACCCGTATCCACCTGTCCTGTGTTGGAGTGGACACGCCTGGAAGGCCTGTACAAGAGATGGGTCACCCGTCTCCGTCTGTCCTTCTGTTGGCGTTTTGGTACAAGGACGTCCTGCATGGGGGGAAATCGGCAGGGTCATTATTTTTCCGATAAGAACTTGAATAGTATCTCGGTGGCAATGGAAATGTGCAGCCACCTGACACTGAGACATGCCCATACTTGCAATCCTATTAGCTGTGAATGCATAACGCCATTTAGAACGTGGTCAAATGTAACATATGTTATATACTTTCTCAGTAAGGAACAGATTCTAGTACTGTTTAGATTGAGTCCCATGCGGGATTCGAATCCACACTGTAAGAGTCAGCTCACTCAACCCCCGCGGAAGTCGCTTTGTGGATGGGTCTCGTGACAATCAAAGACTATTGTATTTTTTTCAAAGAAAAATACTATTGCGTTATTGGTAATAATATTGCAATGGAATTATGATTATTTCTTTGAATACCAAATTCTTCAAAGATTATTTAGTTGATACCAGGCCAATGTTTAGCATAAGTACATGGATTGTGAATTTGTTTCGGATTATGTACTTTTATGTTTCGTGTGAATTTGCAAATGTGTTACAGTCTAAATGCGTACATAGTGAGTAAGTGAATATTGTTTAAAGCCGTATGGGCAACTTTGCAGCTTTTCTGCAAGCCCATGGGCAACTTTGCAGCTTTTCTGCAAGCCCATAAAGACACCCCCTGCATGTCAATATATCTTTTTCAGACTATAGCGACTTTATGAAACTGCAGCGCATTTTTAACGAAGCCATCATCAAACATTTCAACCCGAACTCAAATGCTACACTGCAGAACCTGGATGTACAAATGCTCCGAATGCCATACCCGCCTTACGTAACAGACGCCATGATTCTGCTGCTGCAGTACATGTTTCCTGTGTTACTGATGCTGAGCTTCATCCTGATGGCCATCCAGACAACAAAGGGAGTTGTCTACGAGAAGGAAAGAAAACTGAAAGTGAGTCACCAGATTCTGGGACGTTTGAGACTTTTGCCTTTCCGAAATACTCAATACGTTTACTCAGTCTTTAAGTTCAAGAAACTTGGCACTGGTCATTGCGACATGGACATTATCAATTTACACATAACTTCTGTGATAACCAGTTTGTTGTTGGGATGTTCGTGGTTTTTCATTTTTTATAACATCATAGTATTCAAGAGTGGCATAATGTTGTCACGCCGCTTCACGCGTAGAGAAGAGGCAAATTAAAATTTCACTCCCGTGGGTTTCAAAATAGAACTGGACAGTATAGCGGGAGAGAGAAATACAGTATCTAGATATTACCATCCCTTTCATTAAACATGAGCTGGTGAACTTTGTCAGATTTAGGAGCAGGGTTGTTTGCCATAAAGTTTTTGTTAAAAATAGAATAACTATTCTAAGTTAGAATACACTCCGCATTTTCTACTCCCCAGGAATCCATGAAGCTGATGGGTCTGAGCGCTGCAGCTCACTGGACGTCTTGGTTCCTGACCAGCTTTATATACCTGTTGGTAATTATGGCCCTGTACGCTCTGCTTTGCGGAGTTAACGCAAGTGGAAATGGGGCAGCTCTGGCCAAATCAGATCCCTCCCTGTTCTTTGTGTTCCTCCTCTGTTACGGCGTCTCCATCATCTCCTACTGCTTCATGATCAGCGTCTTCACTCAAAGAGGTAAGTTTCTGAACTGTTATTGAAATACGTTATAAACGCTTTCCTAATACTCATAATTATGTGTTCTTCAAGACTGTATTATAGTGTGGAGATTGTATACAAGTAATGAATAGTTCACACTGATATTTCTCATTCACAGGAAGGTGTTCTCAAAATTCGACTGTCACCGTCAGTTGATCCATATATTAGCGGCAAAACTCATTCCATAATACGAGGAGATCCCTGCTCGCTGTAGTCACATTGTGCACCCACCACACCCATTGGAACCTTCACCGATGACCTCAGAAATCCCGACGTGTACAAAAACTGTAATAAATGATGATACGTACAGCAAATCTAATATACTCGTATTACCTGTGTACTCGTTAAATATCTGAACGGATTAGATAGATTATAAAAAATTTGTTGTTGTTGAAATGTTGATGTTTAAATGTCACTGAAGCATACACTAACAATATCCAAGACAACACTTATATTAATAACTTACAACCATAGTTCGTCATATGCATTTCGACTGAAATCAGCAGCAGAAAAGGAGTTCTTTATGTCCATTATGTCCTTTATGAGTTGAGATTTTCTTTGTTTCAGCAAACATTGGAGCAGCTATCAGCGGGATCGCGTTCTTCCTATCCTACTGCCCGTACTTCTACCTAGCTATCATATACCAAAACATGTCGAGGTCAGCCAAACTGGCTTCCTGTCTCCTGTTCAATGTAGGAATGGCGTTTGGTGCAAATGTCATATCACTCTATGAAGGAGCAGGTACGTTGTTTTTCACTTTCTAAACACAAGGTTGTTAAGGATGTACCACACAGAACTGGAGTGGATGCTGAATAAAGAGCAAAATAGAGATTGAATTATCATATGTTTGTTCCAAAATGCTTTGGACCTCTGAGGGAGCTGTTTCTTTCCCTGGTCAATATGCAGCTGTATATATTTCATCTGGAAACCAAATATTCAGTATATCTATCGGCATCCAACATTTTACATTTTCTTTAGAATAAGATGTAATGATGTTTCTTCCTCACATTGTATAACACTGAAGCTTGTTTCAATATGCAGGTTCTGGTGTGCAGTGGTCAAATTTCCATGAGCCCGCTACTGTGGATGACAACTTTTCCTTGCTGGACGCCATGTTGATGTTGCTAGGCGACACAGCAATCCACCTCCTCATCACCTGGTATCTGGACAATGTCTGGCCAGGGGAGTTTGGTGTTCCGAAACCATTCTACTTCCCTTTTACTGTAAGTATTTTTTGGGGCATATATGCAATATTCAAAACATAGCTGCAACGCTGACACATTGTACACTCTACAGCGAAACATTTTATTTTATCTTTTGAAGCTCAGTTTTCTTTAAGAAATTTCACATTTATGCATCTGTTTTCTCATAATCTCTGTATTCTTTGTTTCGCCAACAAAGACTTCTTTATTCTAAACGTTGGATTTTTTAATTTTTTGATTTGAATTGGACAACATTCAAACACCCTTGTTTCGAAGATGAAATCACTTTTGTATTTGCTTAGAGGTATCCGATGTTGTATACAACCGAAGAATGATGGGTAAAGAATGAATGTCGGGTCCAGGATTTTACTTCGAGTTATCCGATGTTGTATACAACTGAGGAATGATGGGTAAAGAATGAATGTCGGGTCCAGGATTTTACTTCAAGTTATCCGATGTTGTATACAACCGAGGAATGATGGATAAAGAATGAAAGTCGGGTCCTCGCTTTTTACTTCGAGTTATCCGATGTTGTATACAACTGAGGAATGATGGGTAAAGAATGAATGTCGGGTCCAGGATTTTACTTCGAGTTATCCGATGTTGTATACAACTGAGGAATGATGGGTAAAGAATGAATGTCGGGTCCAGGATTTTACTTCGAGTTATCCGATGTTGTATACAACTGAGGAATGATGGGTAAAGAATGAATGTCGGGTCCAGGATTTTACTTCGAGTTATCCGATGTTGTATACAACTGAGGAATGATGGGTAAAGAATGAATGTCGGGTCCAGGCTTTTTACTTCGAGTTATCCGATGTTGTATACAACTGAGGAATGATGGGTAAAGAATGAATGTCGGGTCCAGGATTTTACTTCGAGTTATCCGATGTTGTATACGACCGAAGAATGATGGGTAAAGAATGAATGTCGGGTCCAGGATTTTACTTCGAGTTATCCGATGTTGTATACAACTGAGGAATGATGGGTAAAGAATGAATGTCGGGTCCAGGATTTTACTTCGAGTTATCCGATGTTGTATACAACTGAGGAATGATGGATAAAGAATGAATGTCGGGTCCAGGATTTTACTTCGAGTTATCCGATGTTGTATACAACTGAGGAATGATTGGTAAAGAATGAATGTCGGGTCCAGCTTTTACTTCGAGTTATCCGATGTTGTATACAACCGAGGAATGATGGAAAAAGAATGAATGTCGGGTCCAGCTTTTACTTCGAGTTATCCGATGTTGTATACAACTGAGAAATGATGGGTAAAGAATGAATGTCGGGTCCTGGCTTTTACTTCGAGTTATCCGATGTTGTATACAACCGAGGAATGATGGATAAAGAATGAATGTCGGGTCCAGGCTTTCACTTCGAGACAACCGTATGCTCGACACGGCTGTGTTTGTATCTGTAGTGTTTTACTTATTGTAATAAGACACAATGTTTACATAATTTTGATATGGGTAATTATTCGTAATACCAGGGCTCCTATTGGTGTGGGACTAAGCAGACCAATGCTGATTATTCAAGTAGTCAGAACTTGGATGTGAAGCATTTTGAGACGGAACCAAGAGGCATGGAGACTGGAATATCCGTCCAAAATCTCAAAAAGGTAAACAATAAATGCTTCTGATTTTATGCTTCTTTTTGCATTGTGAATATTTCACTATTTCAAACTATTCTGCAATCTAAGATCTCCCTTGATAATGTGTTCATTAGTTGTCAGCAATGTGCAATCCATTTGGCTGTTAATCGTAACAAGGTGTCATTACATACTTCTTCAAAATACCTACAAAATACTCGTCAGTTGTCTGAGGGACGACCGATTAAAGCACTAGAGATCAGCAGTTTGTGTACGCAACGGTCGATATTAAGGTAGGGTTGCACTTCAGAAAAACCTTAAACAAAAATATTAAACGAATCTTTCATATGACGTCTTTCACGTCACTGGATGACAGATACCTGATGTTACTAACGTATAAATTTAATTAAACAACTTGGAAGCATGTGATAAATGTTTAATGTGTCTAGTGAAATGTGATTATATGTTATCTCGGGACGTACACACATTAAATATTTATTATTATTAATAAATAATGTCTATTTATATTGCGCTGGGTTCCATCCACAAAGGTGCATGCTCAAGGCGCTACTATTATGAGAAGTTCACGGGAGGAGATAGTTCGTGGGGATAGAACTTTCTGAAGAGAAAGGTTTTAGGTTGGTTTTGAATGTCTCAAGGGTGGGGGGATTCTTTAATGTTCTGAGGTAGTGGGTTCCATAACTGAGGTGCTGCTACTTGAAACGATCTGTTGCCGTAGGATTTTAGTCTTGAGTTTGGTACTGCAAGTAGGCGTTGGTTTTCAGACCTTAGACGTCGTGAAGGCTGGTATGGTCAGATCAGGTCTGATCAGGTCGGTGCTGTACCATTCAAACAGTGGTATGCAAAACACAAGATCTTGAAGTGGATCCGGGCTTCTATTGGTATCCAGTGTAGGGACATCAATACCGGTGTTATCTGGGATCTTTTTGGTGCATGACTCACAATACGAGCTGCCCTATTTTGTACCTTCTGGAATTTGTTCAGCAGATCCTGACTCAAACCATACAACAGAATGTTGCTGTAGTCAATGCGGGACTAGTGGACTAGTGTCTTTGTTACGTCTTTGGTAATAAGATTACATGATATTTATTACATGATATTTATTACGTGAAATATCCTCGGACCTGAGTATTTCTCCGCTCACACATGTATACGCGAGATCACATTCATCCGCCTGACGTCATCAACAATTGTCAGATTCTGATCACTTAAAACAAAAAAGGATTTGACACAAAACAACTTACATTCAATAACTATAATGTATCAAAGATTTCAATACGACGTTTTTTAAATGTTTTTTAAATGTCTTACGTTAGGATCCAAGTATGGCCGTGCCGTGCAGTACGGAAATCGGCGTGAAATGCACTTTATTTCACGACTGTATTGCTATCTTTAGAACAATTGGATATAAAATAAAAGGCGACATCGAGTAATGTCATTGATTAACTCAATCAATTGACATCATACAACAACAAACCTTCGCTTAAAAAACAAAACACAATGTAAAATGTATTTAATGTACTCTTGCTGTGAAGGTTTTCGGCTCTGGATCTAAGAAGAAGGTAGCTGTGGATGGGATGAATTTCAACATGTACGAGGGTCAGATCTCTGTTCTCCTGGGTCACAACGGCGCTGGGAAAACTACAACCATGTCTGTTCTTACAGGTAAATATATTGTACTTACGGGTGTGTGACGGATGTGTGACGAGTGTGTGACGGGTGTGCGAACTCTCCCCTTGTGAAAATAACCAGACTTAAGACCACATTGAAGAATGTTTTTGCGTTGGCGGAGCCAATCAGGGGGTTAGAACCACCTGCCACACCCCCACCCCCACCCACCCCACACACCCCTTCAAAATTCCTGGATCCGCCCAAGCATCATGATCACTCACTGATCGACAGCAATCCATGATAACCTCGGAATCATACCTTCTGAATATTGAGGGGCGGTGGTTCCTATGTAACCATACATACATATACGTATCTAACATGCAAAGACGTTATCATGTTATGTCCACGAGCAAGCGATTTCGTCAAGCAGAAGTATACGCTACTTGCCGAGTTATAAATCACACAAGATCCATAACTGGAAATGGTATATCTTGGCCCTGTATGCAGTCATGACAACTGTGTATCCATTTGCAGGTTTCATTCCTTCGTCTGGAGGCACCGCCATTGTGAACGGCTACGACATCAACAACGACATCCAGAGTGTCCGGCAGAGTCTAGGTCTTTGTCCTCAACACAACATCCTGTTTGACAGTTTGTCCGTCCAGGAACATCTGGAGTTCTTTGCCTGTGTAAGTTACCTTTCAATGATTTAATCTATATAATCAAAGTCCCGGAGTTTATGTGTGAACACTGAACTAGCACTTGATAAAGTTACAGAATAATGAACTTACTTACATATTTGTTTGGATATTTGGGAAGAACGTGTCTGAGGTGTTCTGATCATTTCTGAGCGGGGTTCGGTTTCACTCATGGGCCCAATGTGTGAAGCCCATTCCTGGTATCCCCCACCGTGATATTGCTGGAATATTGTACAAGGCGGCGTACAACTAAACTCACTCACTCTATTGCTGCACAATCAACTCCTGTAAAGTATCTATATAAAGTGCAAATCCTTGTTATCCATAAAAACGCGTCATGAGTTCATGTTCGTCCAAGTTCTAAATGTCTTTCAAGGACTGCTCTGCTCTTGTAGTTGAAAGGTTGTCCGAGCAAGAATATTCAATCTGAAGTGACCACTATGATAAATGAAGTTGGCTTGAGTATGAAGAGATTCACAGAGTCTCAGCATCTATCTGGAGGACAGAAGAGGAAGCTTTCTGTTGGCATTGCTTTGATTGGAGGATCCAAGGTAGGCCAACACAATCTCTATTGAAAAAAATCTCCCGAAGGACTGTATTTGAGGACGTCCACAGCTATATTCTAACGTTTCAGAGCATATGCTCACGGCTTCATTATCTGATACTCTGAAACATTCTATTTTATTATGGGGAGAAAGTTGGCATCCTAAAATGCTCTCCGTTATTTGTATCACGAAATACCATTCGAATATTTGATATTTTATTCTAATAATAAACAATATCGATTTAATTATTTGCAGTTTGATAATATCAAAAATGGTATAAAGGATACTAATGAACAGAACAATTTAGATCGTTATCCTGGATGAGCCGACTTCCGGTATGGATCCTGCAGCCAGAAGACAGACATGGGACATCCTTCAGAGGAACAAGCAGGGCCGGACCATGTTGCTGACCACTCACTTCATGGACGAGGCTGACCTCCTGGGTGACCGCATCGCCATCATGACAGAAGGGGTGGTCAAGTGTTGTGGGACATCCTACTTCCTGAAGAAACTCTACGGTAAGGCCGAACTGACATTTTGCAGTCAATGCACTTTTGGTAATTTGTGTTTTACCTTCTTACCTTCTTTACTCTTCTTATCATAATATAGCTCTCCGTCATTGGCTCATTTCTGTATTTCCAGGGGCTGGCTACCACCTGGTGATGGTGAAGGAACCCACCTGTCAGGTGGCGTCAGTGACGGCAGTGGTCCAGCAACACGTCCATACAGCTGTCATTGAGAGTGAGATCAATGCTGAACTCTCCTACCTGCTGCCTGATGACCAGTCAGCCAATTTTGCTGCTCTCTTCAATGAGATTGAGATCCAGAGGGGGAAGCTTGGCATATCTAGCTTTGGCGCAAGTGCAACAACCATGGAGGAAGTGTTTCTTAAGTTAGTAGTTTCAATTGTTTTAAAACCATATGTCGAAAAGTTATGGGAAGAATAGGTGCACTATGTCAACACATATTGATTGATTTTCTGCTTGTTGTTCAACGCCGCACTCAGCAATATTCCAGTCATATGGCGGCGGTCTGTAAATAATCGAGTCTGGACAAGTAATCAACAGCATGAGCATCGATCTACGCAATTAGGACACGATGACATGTGTCAACTAAGTCAGCGATTCTGACCACCCGGTCCCGTTATTCGCCTCTTGTGACAAGCATGAGTTGCTGAAGAACAAGTCTTTACCCGGATCTTCACGGATTGTCACCAAATATAATGTCTATGAATTAAGTAACTACTAGTATTCATTACCAGTACTCAGCAATCCAATGTTATGGTCCAATAATGTAATGATTAATACAGGACCTTAGTGAGTAGGTTGTACGCCGCTTTTAGCAATATTCCAGCAATGTCACGGCGGGTGACACCATTGTCCTCATGTGGGGAATCGAACCCGGAACTTCGACGTGACGAGCGAACGCTTTAAAAACTAGGCTACCCCACCACCAATACAGGACATTAACACACTGCTGCTTTCCAAAGTATGGAATGTAGTGGCGCAATATATACTCAATACAGTATTTGTTGACAACAGCGTTCAAAATGATGACAAAATACCATAAAGTTTCTGATCTTCTGTCAATGTATAGATTTGTATTCTATGATTTTTAACATATAACCAATCATACAATAGGCTCAGGTTTGACCACCCTCTGCTTACAAACAAATGATATGCGTATAGTGATGGGACCGAACCTGAACACATTTCTGCACAAACATTGCAAATTGTCGTTAATATCGTATCTGTTGGACAGAGCGGGTGAGGAGGAACAAGAAGAGTGTGGAAATGCCAATGAAGATTACCCTACAGGATCAAGAAACAATTTGATATCAACCGGAATAAATGGTTGGAGCAATGGAAATTATGAACTGAGAGACAGAGGCACGGCTGATATATTAGGTAAATTGCTTTGAATATAGCATGTGTTCATAGCACAAAAGTAACTGCACAGGGTTTTTAAAAACAAAAAATGCCATAAATATTGTATTTAAAGGTTACTTTCGTCTGCAGTTTTCAACTGAATCTGAAAACAATAAGTGCGGAAGATCGTAAAGCTATATGTATTCTGTATTAACATTATGTTTACCAAATTTGACTTATATTATTATTGTACTCAATGCAATAATATGCAAGCTTCAATGACAAATATACTTTACTGATATCATTTGTTTTAACTTATATTCATTTCAGCATTCAATCAGGGCTTCGCAAAAACCAGCGGGATACTGCTGGAGTTATCCCGCTTCAGAGGAATGTTTGTAAAGAAGGCTCTTCACACATGGAGGAACAAGACCATCACCATTGTCCAGCTTCTGTTGCCGGTTATTTTCACCATTGCAGCCCTGGCTATCAGCAAGGTAGATCCCGGAAAAGTTGTCGAGGTTCCATTGACTTTAGACTTGGCACCATTCAAAGGCACCGAAGTCCCATATCTTTATGGCCCAAACCAAACCGGTTCTTCTGACAACCTGACACAAGCATTTGCACAGGCATACCGTGATCAATTCGATAGTTCTCAAAATAAACCTGAGATGATAAATTTGTCAAAACATAATGTGACAAGCTATTTCTTATCAAGAGCAGAAGAACTTGGAATCGGAGGATATAACCAAAAAGTTATCATTGGAGCACAGTTCAAATCTAGCAGAGAAGCAATCAGTCTTTTTAATGGACAGCCTTACCACAGCCAGCCGATAGCTTTGTCTTTCATGATGAATGCAATCCTCAAACATTTTACATCTCAAGATCACTCTATTACCACAATCAACAGCCCACTTCCCCTTGACAATAAAGACACATCAGAAACAACACTTGGGGCAGTATCTGCACTTGGCTTTTCTGTGGCCTTTTGTCTTATCTTCGGCATGGCCTTCCTAACTTCTTCCTTCGAGTACTTCCTCATCAAAGAAAGACTGGTGGGCGCCAAACATCTCCAGACTGTCAGTGGGGTTGGACCGTTTGTCTTCTGGTTGTCCAACCTGGCCTGGGACTACATCAACTACCTGATTCCATCCTTCTTGCTGTTGATTGTGTTTGCAGGATATCAGACACCAGCATATACCGAAGATGGGAGATTGGGCATCGTGTTCCTCGTCCTGCTGGTGTATGGTTTGGCAGTTCTCCCATTCATGTATGCACTTCAGTATATGTTCAAGTCTCCTCCTACCGGGATGGTTGTCATCGTCATCTTAAATATCATCACAGGTAACGCATTTTTGAGTGTACGTAAACAACACTAAAAAATATAGTGTCCATAAATTTGAGAGTACGAGTTATGATTTTCAGTTTGATATTTTCTTGTTTCTCCTGACAGGTCTTGCAACCCTGTTAACAGTCTTCATGCTGACCCTCTTAGGAAAGAAAACTGAGGCAAATATCACTGACTGGGTGTTTCTCCTAATTTTCCCTCACTACAGTTTTGGCAAGTCCTACATGGATATGTACAGCAACTATCAATACCTGGAAGGATGTACTAAGCAAAACTACACAACCCTTTGTGCAACAAGAAGTAGGGGAAATGGATGCTGTAAAGGTTGGTTTTCATATTTACTTCTTAAGACATAGACATATGTATTAACTATCAAAAGCACTGGAGGGCCTATTTTGAGTTGAAACGAGAGGAACATTCACCAATGTATGGAATGTAAGGAAATGACTTTTCCAGAGAAATCAAGTTGTCAAACACAACACTTAGATAGTATTAGAGCATATGACCTGCATATGAGCATAGCAGATGCATATTGTTTTATTTATTTAAAAGAACCAGAATTAATCAGTAAGGAAGTAACAGTTTTGATGAGGGACGAACTCAACGTTTATTAATTTTGGCATGTTGAAGGTACCACGCGAATATTGTTGCCCAAACGCTGGATATTTGTCAGTCTGTCGTCAGTGGATTGTGGGTCTGATACCAACCAAAACAGCATGATGGTCAACACCGCTCTCTGTATCGGCTTGAGAAAGAATGTTGTAGGTTTTTAGACAGGTGTCTGCAGATGAGTGGAAGATGATACTGGCCTCAACATGGTTTACAGTGGTGAACAGGTGGAAAATGTCATGTCTGGTGGTTGGTAGGTGTTTGGTTTGCAGATGGCGTGGATGTTCTTGCCGAATTCGGATTAATTAGAGACAAAGTTGATCTTTTAGGGTGTTGTCGGTTAGGCTGTTGAAGTTGGTTGTGTCCTTGATGACAGCTGCCTTGCCTTTGCCTGTTGGGAGTTTCACGTCATGTGACGCCTTTACTGTACCTCAACTTTGTCCCTTAGTGCTAGTAGTATTCCCTCTTCTTTACTGTCGGTGAATTCATCATTGTTAGTCCGGAAACTGTTTGGTGAACACTTGACTGTAATGTGGAGCTGATTGAGGTGCTTGCTCTCAAAATGTCGTGCTGTGGTAGTATTTAATGTTGAATGACCTTGGGCGTCTGCTTCTGTAGTTTGTTACAATGCGGCAGTGTGTGCCCTTTTGGTGACAGAATATAGGTTGCAGTTGCCTTTTGTCTGAATGTTCCTTAGGATGGGATAGATGTCTTCTGTGCGATAGAAGGTAATTTTGATGTTTTGTGATATCTTCTAGGGCAAAGGACTTGGTCTAACGATGATGGCGTATTCGCTCTATGACTAGTCGTTGTGAGGCTTTTCACTAATCATCAGTCAGTCGTGAACATCAACTTGATGGGTTGACATTGTGTGTGTGTGTGTGTGTGTGTGTGTGTGTGTGTGTGTGTGTGTGTGTGTGTGTGTGTGTGTTTTCATTATCTGGTTCTCTTGTTTTTCTTTGTTACACTCGGTATATATACCTTGCGACCTTTACATATTACATTCGACCGCCTCCGTGGTGTAGTGGTTAGAGCGTCCGCGTCATACCAAAAGACGTTAAAATATGGTACTTGTTGGTCCCTGTCTGGCGCTCGGCATTAATGGGTACAACATGGACTGGTCGGCTTGGAGTCAGTATAAAGTGTCTGAGTGGTGTATTCATGCTTCACTGCGGCATGGTATCTCAGTGGGCTAGCACTAAAAACCAGCTTCAGTCTGGGCTAGTACAAGCAGCCGCACATACCCATACACACGCATGCACATCGTCATATGAGCGAAATATTCTCAAGCACGACGTTAGACCCAATTTCACCTCACCTCACCTCACATATTACATTCCTGCTTGGCAACGATAACAGGTGCGTATCGTAATAAAGAAGTTGTTATCCATGCAGTTCGTCTGTTCTGTGCAATTTCTGCATTGTATGATCATGCCATTTTCATTTTCCATACCATATGGGGGAGGGGGCCGGAGCAGCCTAAAGCGTTAGCTCATGGGTACAAGGCGTGAAACCCATTTCTGGTTTCCCCCACCATGATATTGCTGGATTATTGCTAAAAGCGGCTTAAAATCAAACTCTCACATTTACCCAATAGCATTTGGCTAAGAATCCCAGCACCCGTACGTTTTCTTTGGACATGTGTATAAAGATTGGATTATTTTCTTTGATTTCAGACTCATGTGGAGATTACTGTTATCCATTCACTGAAAACTTCTTGGCGTGGGACTCTCCCGGGGTTGGCCGCTATATTGTGTTCATGCTGCTCCAGTCTGTGGTGTACATGTCTGTGACACTGTTCATTGAGTACCAGGTGCCACAGAGAATCTGGTACGCCTTCAGACCACAGGATACAGAAGAACCACAACCCGGTGCAACACCATTCAGCACTATGCAACAGGTTCCAGAGGATGGAGATGTTCTCAATGAAAGGCAACGTATTGATCAACTTTCCACAGGAATCGGGAATTCAGATGCACTGGTCCTACACAATCTTTACAAACGCTACGGGAACTTCGTTGCTGTTGATAATCTGAGTGTGGGTATTCCAGAGAAGGAGTGTTTTGGTCTCCTTGGACAAAACGGAGCAGGAAAAACAACAACTTTCAAAATGATTACTGGAGATGTGATGCTGACACGTGGTAATGTTTTCTTGCAGTCCTTTGACATCAAGAATCACACCCAGAAGGTAATTCAAGTCTTTTTGTCGGGAATAGCGGAATGGATGTGTGTTGCATGGTTTTACCACAACCAAATACTTTAACATATAATACTCCTGGGCCGGGCAATTTATCAACAACGAGTGTTATCGTTGCTGGACGGCAGAATCAGCCCGGTGGTGTTGTGCATTCGCCAGATTCCAAATCAAATAATTTGTTACAACAATCTGATGATGGGACGAGGTGTCAGAACGAAAGGAAAAGTTATTTATCAACACTATTTGTTCATCGTATTCAGTACAGATCAGGGGCGGTGGGGTAGGTTAATGGCTAAAGCGTTACTGGTCAAGCCGAAGACCCAGACTCCATTCCCGACATGGGTACAATTTCTGGTATATTGCTGAAATATTGCTAAAAGCGGCGTAAAACTAACGTCATTCGCTCAGTACAGATCAACATTGATTTTGACTTGCCATATGTGTGCTTCCAGGCCCTAAATCGATAATGGATGAAAATGTACATTATATATTGAATCACTTGAAGACATCTCATTCAACTCTCTAAACGTCTCTCTGTTACATATTTTTCCTCTGTTGAGGTTATAATCTAACTGAATATATATATCATCACAGGTGCAGGAGAACATGGGCTACTGTCCCCAGTTTGATGCCCTGATTGACCAGATGACCGGCCGAGAGACTCTCACCATGTACGCCAGACTCAAGGGAGTGCCGGAGAACTGCATCAAAGGCGTGTGTGACAACCTGCTGGATATCATGATGCTCAGACAATATTCAGACAAACCAACATCCGAATACAGGTGAAGGAAATTGTAGTGCTAAAAAGAGACTCGAGAAATAGTTGTATTTTGTTCGTAGTGCGTATTGACGTCTTAATGTGCGTGATGGTGGCCATGATATGCATGCATTTTTGTCTTATCATATATATTTCAATTATTTCTACAGTGGCGGCAACAAGCGTAAGCTAAGCACCGCCATCGCTCTGGTTGGAGACCCGGCCTTCATCATGCTGGATGAGCCGTCCACGGGGATGGACCCCAAGGCCAGGAGGCAGCTCTGGAACGTCTTGTCACAGGTCCGAGAGTGCGGCAGGACACTTGTGCTTACGTCTCACAGGTTAGGAAAATTATGCTGTTTGTCCCAACATTTTTCATTCTGAAATATGGAATGTCCAAGGTTCTGATTTTGTTCTTTCTTTGGACGTTGATACTTCAAACATCCAATTCTTAAAATTGCTGGAAATTCTGCAATTTTAGCATTATATGGTATCCAATCTTTTCAGCATGGAAGAATGTGATGCTCTGTGTACAAGAATTGCCATCATGGTGAATGGAAGGTTCGTGTGTCTTGGAACACCACAACATTTGAAGACCAAATTCGGCCAGGGCTACACGTTGATAGCCAGGATGAAGACAGTTGAAACCCAACCAGGAGTGTCAGAAGAAAGAGCTCCGGCCTCGACACAGCCACTGGTGAACTTCATCACATCAACCTTTCCCAACACTCACGTGTTCGACGACCATCAGGGCTATGTTCACTTCCAAGTTCCTTACAGCACTGTCAGTCTCGCTCAGGTCTTTACAGTGATGGAACAGTCCAAGGTGCAGTTCTGGGTCGAGGACTATTCAGTTCACCAAACAACCCTCGAACAAGTGTTCCTCTCATTTACACGCTGGCAGGTTCCACCGAAGGAGGACAAAACAAGCTGCTGCAAGAGAATATGTTGCTGTTGCTGAAGGATTTCAGAATAGGTGTACATTAGGGTGAATAACATGATCGTTACAATGGAACAGTAATATATTTAATATTATTAACAAACAGATATTTAGCCTTGTAATGTCTACTGACTGACTGACTGAGTTTTGTTTTACGCCGCTTTTAACAATATTCCAGCAACATCACGGCGGGGGACACCAGAAATGGGCTTCACACATTTTACCCATCTGGGGATTCGAACCCGGGTCTTCGGTGTGACGCTTTAACCCCTAGACTACCCCACCGCCCTGTAATGTGTAAGTAGTCCAGATATTGGCCATGTTATCGAAAGACAGACATATTGTCATGCCATAAATGCTGCCTTAACATTCCAGTTGCATCTGGGCATATGTGTCAGAGATCAAGTTTACTCGCTGTGATAAAACTTGAACACTGTCAAAACTCGCACTCACTCACGCACTTTAAAATCCAATGTCGTGAGACGATGACATCTAATGTCATGATGATTTTTTCCAAAGATCTTAAGTTCTCATGTTATAATATTGTTTAACATCTAAATATATATTTTCATACATGTGCAACATGTTCCCTCATGTGTTCGCTGAAATACGCGTATGTATGTTCAGCCAGAAAGGGATGGTAACCTCGTTTTAGTTACTTTTATTGTGAACCTCTAGGAAACAATTCCCATATTCTGGTTTCCGTTTTCATTGACTATCATAAATAAGAATATGATTCACCGGAAAAAATGAAAATGACAGAAAACAAACATCTGAAAATGAACAGAGAAAGTGAACTGTCTTTTAAACTTTAATGTAAATTGACAGTATAAGGTTGGCAAATGATAGTGTTTACACTGTTGGCTAGTCTAACGAAAAGAAAATTTTCACTATCAATTTTATACATCAATCAATATTGTATGTATTTTTGTTTTCATTTTTCATGTTTTACTGACATCACGTACAACTGTTATCATATTGCTGGTTTAAATTATGTGTTTATTATTTGGTTATCATGAAATGATAACTTTCCAATCTATATTTGCTCGTAACTTTAACCTTATGTGTTTATTATTTGGTTATCATGAAATGATAACTTTCCAATCTATATTTGCTCGTAACCCGCCGTGATGTTGCTGGAATATTGTTAAAAGCGGCGTAAAACAAAACTCAGTCAGTCAGTCAGTAGACATTACAAGGCTAAATATCTGTTTGTTAATAATATTAAATATATTACTGTTCCATTTAAATTATGTGTTTATTATTTGGTTATCATGAAATGATAACTTTCCAATCTATATTTGCTCGTAACTTTAACCTTAATGTTAAAAGGTTAACACATTTTGTTGTTTGTTTCCAATATAATTGCCAGTAAGATTTCCATGGAATACCATGTTTGTGGTATCAGTGCTTTCTAACAATACTTTCACAATAAATAAGTTGCAGTACTGATGATGAGGAATTCTTTCTTTTATGATTCGGTATCGTGATATGTCCACCTGTATCGAGTACATGAGTATTGTTTTACGCCGCTTTTGTCAAGGGACCAACTATATAGTTGCATTATGATACTTACTTTATTATTGTACTGGAATGAGCGTGAATGACGAATTCAAATTCGACTTTTAGCCGCAGGTTGTTCATCTGCCTGTGAAACAGTCTTGGTTTGAATCATCCTGAGTGAAGCTTGAAGCAAGCCAACAAATGGATGAGGTGTTCAATATTTCAACCATGCTCCATTATGTACATCATCTAAGTGTTGATCTGCTTATCTATTTGTTTGTTGTTTTACGCCGCACTCAGCAATAGTCCAGCTATATGGCGGTAGCCTGTAAATATTCGTGTCTGGACCAGACAATCCAGTGATCAACAGCATGAACATCGATCTACGCAATAGGGATACAATGACATGCGTCAACCAAGTCAGCGAGCCTGACCACCCGATCACTTTAGTCGCATCTTAAGACAAGCATTGGGTGCATACAAAAGTCAACCAGGTTTCCGATTTCCAATAGTATTGGTAGAATTAGGTTATTAATTGAGGCCAAGACGCAATGAGTTCGTTTGCGCTATCCGTTTATTCTGTTAAGGACAAAGCTCTTGATCGTTGAATGAGTGAGTGAGTTAATATTTAACGTCACATCGGCAGTATTTCAGCCATATCGTGACGAGAACAATCTATACATTTAACCAAAATAAATCTATACTTTATAGACCTGTCGTCGAAGAACAGTAAAAATACAAGAACATCACAGATTTGGTTTAAAACTAGTATGTTGTAATATAATCTATTACTACAGAAAACAATACAAAATAAAAACAGGCTGCTGATCGCCATCAACTGAAGGTAGATCACCATGCCAGGGGCCAGGGGACTCATAATAGTTTTGCTTCCTGCGTGGACCCCATTTGTATTTACACCATTACAACAGGTGTTGGCGATATTTTGGAAATTTTGCCGATCATTAAAAGAACAAATATTCTACTATTCAAGCACACACACACACACACACACACACACACACACACACACACACACACACACACACACACACTGAATGAAATGGGACTTATGTACCCTCTCAGGGGGACCTTTGTTGTTGAAATAAAGTACAAATATCGCTGCATAATGTCACGCGAAATGCATCCAGTTATAAAGTATCGATCTAATGGCAGTTTGTTTGAGAGTGAAAACAGAGTATTATACTGAGTACAGATTACGTTTCGTGATCGAGAAAATGTATTGAGTTTGATCGGCGTGGTTGTTTGAGCGTTCGATTTTGAGTTGTGAGAATTAGGTCAGTGTCTATTGATCACTGTCTATAAATAAAGCGGTGGTCGCAGGCTTTAGGAGCTTATATCACGTGATACACATCCTATGAATTCAGCCCATGTCAAGGCTCATATTCTCTACAGTAGGTTGTATACCACCTCCACCTGGTAATGTCACAATTGTGACTTCGTCATCTGTATATTCTCTACAGTAGGTTGTATATCACCTCCACCTGGTAATGTCACAATTGTGACTTCGTCATCTGTATATTCTCTACAGTAGGTTGTATATCACCTCCACCTGGTAATGTCACAATTGTGACTTCGTCATCAGTATATTCTCTACAGTAGGTTGTATATCACCTCCACCTGGTAATGACACAATTGTGATTTCGTCATCTGTATATTCTCTACAGTAGGTTGTATATCACCTCCACCTGGTAATGTCACAATTGTGACTTCGTCATCTGTATATTCTCTACAGTAGGTTGTATATCACCTCCACCTGGTAATGTCACAATTGTGACTTCGTCATCTGTATATTCTCTACAGTAGGTTGTATACCACCTCCACCTGGTAATGTCACTGGTGTGACTTCGTCATCTGTATATTCTCTACAGTAGGTTGTATATCACCTCCACCTTGTAATGTCACACCATTGTGACTTCGTCATCAGTATATTCCCTACAGTAGGTTGTATATCACCTCCACCTGGTAATGTCACAATTGTGATTTCGTCATCTGTATATTCTCTACAGTAGGTTGTATATCACCTCCACATGGTAATGTCACAATTGTGATTTCGTCATCTGTATATTCTCTACAGTAGGTTGTATATCACCTCCACCTGGTAATGTCACAATTGTGACTTCGTCATCTGTATATTCTCTACAGTAGGTTGTATATCACCTCCACCTGGTAATGACACAATTGTGATTTCGTCATCAGTATATTCTCTACAGTAGGTTGTATACCACCTCCACCTTGTAATGTCACAATTGTGACTTCGTCATCTGTATATTCTCATCTGTATATTCTACAGTAGGTTGTATATCACCTCCACCTGGTAATGTCACAATTGTGACTTCGTCATCTGTATATTCTCTACAGTAGGTAGTATATCACCTCCACCTGGCAATGTCACAATTGTGACTTCGTCATCAGTATATTCTCTACAGTAGGTTGTATACCACCTTCACCTGGTAATGTCACAATTGTGACTTCGTCATCTATATATTCTCTACAGTAGGTTGTATACCACCTCCACCTTGTAATGTCATAATTGTGACTTCGTCATCTGTATATTCTCTACAGTAGGTTGTATATCACCTCCACCTGGCAATGTCACAATTGTGACTTCGTCATCAGTATATTCTCTACAGTAGGTTGTATACCACCTCCACCTGGTAATGTCAGAATTGTGACTTCGTGATCTGTATATTCTCTACAGTAGGTTGTATACCACCTCCACCTGGCAATGTCACAATTGTGACTTCGTCATCTGTATATTCTCTACAGTAGGTTGTATACCACCTCCACCTGGTAATGACACAATTGTGACTTCGTCATCTGTATATTCTCTACAGTAGGTTGTATATCACCTCCACCTGGTAATGTCACAATTGTGACTTCGTCATCTGTATATTCTCTACAGTAGGTTGTATACCACCTCCACCTTGTAATGTCATAATTGTGACTTCGTCATCTGTATATTCTCTACAGTAGGTTGTATATCACCTCCACCTGGTAATGTCACAATTGTGACTTCGTCATCTGTATATTCTCTACAGTAGGTTGTATACTACCTCCACCTGGTAATGTCACAATTGTGACTTCGTCATCTGTATATTCTCTACAGTAGGTTGTATACCACCTCCACCTTGTAATGTCACAATTGTGACTTCGTCATCTGTATATTCTCTACAGTAGGTTGTATACCACCTCCACCTGGTAATGTCACAATTGTGACTTCGTCATCTGTATATTCTCTACAGTAGGTTGTATACCATCTCCACCTGGTAATGTCACAATTGTGACTTCGTCATCTGTATATTCTCTACAGTAGGTAGTATATCACCTCCACCTGGCAATGTCACAATTGTGACTTCGTCATCAGTATATTCTCTACAGTAGGTTGTATATCACCTCCACCTGGTAATGTCACAATTGTGACTTCGTCATCAGTATATTCTCTACAGTAGGTTGTATACCACCTCCACCTGGTAATGTCACAATTGTGACTTCGTCATCTGTATATTCTCTACAGTAGGTTGTATACCACCTCCACCTGGTAATGTCACAATTGTGACTTCGTCATCTGTATATTCTCTACAGTAGGTAGTATATCACCTCCACCTGGCAATGTCACAATTGTGACTTCGTCATCTGTATATTCTCTACAGTAGGTTGTATATCACCTCCACCTGGTAATGTCACAATTGTGACTTCGTCATCTGTATATTCTCTACAGTAGGTTGTATACCACCTCCACCTGGTAATGTCATAATTGTGACTTCGTCATCTGTATATTCTCTACAGTAGGTTGTATATCACCTCCACCTGGTAATGTCACAATTGTGACTTCGTCATCTGTATATTCTCTACAGTAGGTTGTATACCACCTCCACCTGGTAATGTCACAATTGTGACTTCGTCATCTGTATATTCTCTACAGTAGGTTGTATATCACCTCCACCTGGTAATGTCACAATTGTGACTTCGTCATCTGTATATTCTCTACAGTAGGTTGTATATCACCTCCACCTGGCAATGTCACAATTGTGACTTCGTCATCTGTATATTCTCTACAGTAGGTTGTATACCACCTCCACCTGGTAATGTCACAATTGTGACTTCGTCATCTGTATATTCTCTACAGTAGGTTGTGTACCATCTCCACCTGGTAATGTGACAATTGTGACTTCGTCATCTGTATATTCTCTACAGTAGGTAGTATATCACCTCCACCTGGCAATGTCACAATTGTGACTTCGTCATCAGTATATTCTCTACAGTAGGTAGTATATCACCTCCACCTGGCAATGTCACAATTGTGACTTCGTCATCAGTATATTCTCTACAGTAGGTTGTATACCACCTCCACCTGGTAATGTCACAATTGTGACTTCGTCATCTGTATATTCTCTACAGTAGGTTGTATACCACCTCCACCTGGTAATGTCACAATTGTGACTTCGTCATCTGTATATTCTCTACAGTAGGTTGTATATCACCTCCACCTGGTAATGTCACAATTGTGACTTCGTCATCTGTATATTCTCTACAGTAGGTTGTATATCACCTCCACCTGGTAATGTCACAATTGTGACTTCGTCATCTGTATATTCTCTACAGTAGGTTGTATACCACCTCCACCTGGTAATGTCATAATTGTGACTTCGTCATCTGTATATTCTCTACAGTAGGTTGTATATCACCTCCACCTGGTAATGTCACAATTGTGACTTCGTCATCTGTATATTCTCTACAGTAGGTTGTATACCACCTCCACCTGGTAATGTCACAATTGTGACTTCGTCATCTGTATATTCTCTACAGTAGGTTGTATATCACCTCCACCTGGTAATGTCACAATTGTGA